AATGTATTTTAAATAAATCTGAATAAGAGAGTATACTTTTATAAATGATAAAATTATTTGTGATAAATGATAAGTTACCATTTATTATAGATAAACTCTAATTTAGTAATAAATATTTAGTATACATACATTTAGTTATTATTAGTGATGGGAATTATCGGAATAGTAACTATCGAACTATTCGATAGTCATTCAAAAACTATTCGATAGTTTATGCTAAAAATAAACTATTCGGTTGTATAAACATAACTCGAATAGTTATTCGATAGTTTAAAATATTTGAAAATGTCCATCTTAGTTATTATGAACTATAATTAAAGCATTAGATTGAGCAATCTAATTTAAAAAATCGTATAAATTAGGTTCACGCCGATAACTTATATTGTGCATGTCATTAGCGAATGGCCAAATAAATTAAATGCAGTAACTAAAAATGTCACTTTCCTTGTAATTACATTTTTACTCAACAAAAACTTTTTTATTATTATTATTAAATTTATAATAATAAAAATTAATTTTTTTTAAATAGCCTTTTTTTAGATTTTTTTAACAATATTTTCTAATAACAATATAACATACCAATTTTATGATGAATATTCATTGAATTACAAACATTTTAATACAAAGTGTGTATATAGTGCGAACGGAGTATGCATTATAAATATATACCAATATAAGTTGTATTTTTTTTTAATTTGAAATTAAATCCTAAATAGAGTTGTTCTAATTTCTAATCATATTACAAGTATTGTTCAGATATTCTAGTGTTCTTTTTCTTCCTCGCCTTAATCTCAACTACTTGGGGTCGGCCACCTTTATCCTAAACTTCCGCTTGACACGATCTCTCACATCATCTACGCTCACAAGCTGTCCTTATATCGCATTTAATAGCATCCCTCCATCTCTTTTTTGGTCTTCCTAATTATTGTTCAGATATTCTAGTAAATTCGTATTATTTTTAAGAGTCATTAAAATCTATCACTTTTAAAAGTAATATTCTAGTTAGACATCAAAAAGACCAAAATTTCCAAGTAATATAATCAAAAAATATTTTTTTTTTCGTAATGTCTACAATAAAAACAAAATAAAGAATATCTAATTTTATAGCATATAAAAACATTTAAACACGAAATTGTTGAAGTTGATTATACTAAACTAAAAGCGTACTTTGTACTTAAAATTATAAAGGTTTAGTTAATAATACTTAATAGGTAGTTTTATACATTACTTTATAATATTTATAACGCGTTATAATTCTTTAAGTAGGTGCAAATATTCAAATAGGTAAAAAAAGTGTTTAAGATAGACAAAAATTTTTGCTTAACCCTTTAAGTTGTTTCAATATTTTACCATTGTTAAAAAAATGAAAAGATTTGTGGATCAAACCTACTACGTTTGAAATATACATTGCTCAATGCGCAACGAAACTGAATCCCAACACGTAAGAGTCATAAAGCACTCGTAGAAAGCAACTTTTTAAAAAACCTAAATCTATATTTTAAAAAATAATCACCATATTTGTGTATATTTTCAAAATGCAATAATACCTATGTTTTATAGCAAAGTTTAATTTTAACGTTTATAAAAAAAAATGTTTAATTTAAAAAAAATTATAAATGTGTTAAAGCTTCCATGGATTGTCTTGTTGCTTGAAGTGCTTAAAGATGTAACCATGTTTACATGGATAGTTGCAGCCACCGATCAGCAACCATCACTCTGAAGATGGATTCTGCAATGAGTCCGAAACGTCAGAACTCAACTGTAAACATGGATACACCCTTAGCACTATAAGTAATAAAAAAATGTATGTATAGTAAACTCATTTTACCCGAAAATTACTTTTTGCTTTATGCCCTACTTATAATAAAAAATAAATGTTAATTTATTCATCACGTGCCTTTATGGTTAAATGAAAAAATTGTCCATAAAATGACCTGGAAAAGGAAGAGTAAGTAGAAAAACTTATTAAAATATTATGTTAGAACATTTTAAATAACTTTAAGTATATTTTGGTTGTGGCCAATGACTTTACCAATCTTATACTTTTGTATAAATAAAATTTTATGCATTATTACAAAAATAAATTTTGAATAGACGCAAATCTGATTTGAAAATAACAATGCAGGTCAGATGAGTCAAATTGGTTTTTGAAGGTTTATCGACAAAAGGCAATAATATAAACAATAGGCCTAATTAAGGTATACTCTTAATTATATGAAATAATAATTAATGCGCTAAACTTCAAAAAGATTTTTAATGATTTTTTCGGTAATCTCAAAAAAAAACGATGTACTATTTTCTTTAATTATTTAAAGTGTAATTTTTTAGTAATTTTAATCGATAACATAAGATACGTTTAACAAACACTTTGTCGGGTATCAAAGATTATTATTTTAACATATACAAACATTACAAAATGTACAATTGTTTAAAATTTAATTAGCAAACTATTTATCGTTTAAAAAATTATATAAAATTACGTAAACTTAAGATGCTACTTTGCATAAATTAAACATATTTTTTTTTAATTATATTTATTTTTATCTTAATTTACTCCGATGTATTTTAAATAAATCTGAATAAGAGAGTATACTTTTATAAATGATAAAATTATTTGTGATAAATGATAAGTTACCATTTATTATAGATAAACTCTAATTTAGTAATAAATATTTAGTATACATACATTTAGTTATTATTAGTGATGGGAATTATCGGAATAGTAACTATCGAACTATTCGATAGTCATTCAAAAACTATTCGATAGTTTATGCTAAAAATAAACTATTCGGTTGTATAAACATAACTCGAATAGTTATTCGATAGTTTAAAATATTTGAAAATGTCCATCTTAGTTATTATGAACTATAATTAAAGCATTAGATTGAGCAATCTAATTTAAAAAATCGTATAAATTAGGTTCACGCCGATAACTTATATTGTGCATGTCATTAGCGAATGGCCAAATAAATTAAATGCTTAATTTAAGTCTTATATGTATTATATCATAATGTCAACAAAACGAGAACATTTTTTATAATGTTCTTCCATCTCGTTATGAATAGTTGAATCAAGATCTTAAAGGCCATGCAGATATATGTTAACGTGTGAAAATACACGTGCAATGAAATACACTCCCAATTGTATGAATATATTTATAGTTATTCATGACGTTTTTTAAATGATAGCAGTGTACAGGAAATGAAATGGTTCTCCGAATATACATTATTATCGCTTATGATATTATTTAATGATAAGTTATACAAAACAATATTTAAAAAAATATATATATACAATTATCTATGATTCAACCACTGCAAATTGATAAAGAATTGAACATTTATTTTAAGTCATTCTAATTAGGCCGACAGATTTATATTATTTTTTACCAAGCGGATAACAAATTTCCAGCTTTTGAATTTTTTTTATCAGTTACCTCACGTAAATATGTAGAATAAAGGCCGCGACCATTTCAAAAAAAAAAAAACGCTGACTAAATTCACGTAACATCAAAGAAAATTTGTTTAATTTCATAAAATTTACAATGATGAAATTTTATTTCAAATACTAATTACAATTTCTCATAAAATAATATCATAATTATAGGAACGCATGATCCAATGATTTGATAAAAAGAGCTAAATGTAAAACACTAAATTAAATATTATTCGTTTAATTAATCGTAGTTATCTAGTAAAGTTATCTATAATGAAACATAAATTAAATTTTGCATCAAATTGCATTTCTTTAGTTGAACGATTTATTTATTTTTAGGTACGCATTAATACACACGAGATTTTATAATTCTGAGACAGCCATTAATACAATTATACTCCATCTCGAATTATTACAAAGTGTTACACAAGTATGGAACGAATAACTGGTTTTTGTAGATGACTGTATACAGCCTTTGAGTAACAACATACAAATGTAATTTTTGTTAATATTTCAATGTATATCTCCAATGAAACATATCTAAATCAATATTTTATAAAAGTGAACTGGTTTTAGAGACATTTCAATATACTATTAATTTTTAAATGATTTATTTTAAAAAGTAATCCACTCAAAAAACTGTGTCAAAAAAGTTTTATTCTGTAACCTATCAATGATGTAGGAGAATGACTTAATCTTTTGTGAACGAACTTAATTAGAATTTTATTACATTAAAGGTATTCACTTGCAAAAGATTTTAATTAATACTTAACTGACCTTAAATGATAAGCATTAACTCTCAATGATATGCTATGTAAGTAAAGTAGATTTTCTTTTATCAATGTATATTAAAAGGTAACCTATTGACTGTAGTATACACCTTTTTATATATTTATATAAGTTTTTGTGTTTAGTTGTATTTTTATTATATATTAAATAAATAAATTGAAAATATTAACTTGTAAATTGTTAGCTTTTTTTTTTTTTTGGTAGTTACATTTACTGAAATAAAATATAATCCAACTAATTACTATTTTTGTGCTATAATAAATTACTTAAATTTTAAGCCAACGAATAATATCAAATTAAATAAAATTTTTAGTAACACTTATATAACAAGTGTTGTATTTATAATTACTATTATTAGTTTATGAAAAATAGTTACACGATTATAACCACCACAATTGATAATGACTTTGTTTCAACAAAAATTTGTATTTAAATAAAAAACCTAAAAATGAATATTATCATTAAAAATGTAACAAATATTCTTAGACTAAATATTATTGAGTAATATTAATAAATTATATTTAATTCGTTTTTATTGAAAGAAAATAATTATCATTACTTAGCAATTAAAGTTAAAATAACTTCAATGAAAAAAAATACTAAAATTTAATTACTATAAAATAAATATCAATTACCAAAGTTTACTTACTGCCTGGTCAGTTGATCGGATGAAAAACAGACAAGTAAAGAGTAAAACGACAGCGGCGGACCGCCAAAAATGTCCGCGGCCACGCACCATCACCGTTGGTTTTCGCACACTATCACTCACACGCTTTGGTCTCTAACATGCAAAAACAAAAACTGTAAGAAAAAAATATTTGGAAAAAATAATTTTTTTTTAGTAATAGAATGAAATTACGTTTAATGTAATTATGTGAATACAGTTAAGAGTAACTATATAGCTACAACGATGCTGCTACTATACACCACGTGGTGGGCACCATGATCAATCACCGACCCTATGGATCACTATATTCTTGGCGGTAGACGGCGACGTCACTCGAACGGTGCGCGCAGCGCTTTATCAGCGAACGCTAGGAAACTGTGAACTATCAGCTGGACCTGATTATTGGGGGCATGGACCGCCAGCACAGCCAACGGGTTGATTAGGAAAAATGTTTAAGCTAAACAAATTTTAACTACCATTTTTTTGATATTTTTACTAAGCTCAAATCAGACGTATAATACATTTACTTTCATTTTCGAGTTCTAATAAACAACCATACAAATATATCATTTTAATTAAAAAGTTTACATTATTTGCAAATTGTTCGTCTTTCTTAAGTAGGATTTAAAACTTAACAGGGTCATATCCTGTATCGAACACTTTTATAAATCATTACTTTTATAACCCCTCCTACTTCTTCTCCATTAGTTAATTCATTTATAAAATTTATAAAAATACAAAAGCAAATTTATTTTCGTCTAAAGTGGGTCATATAAAACAAAATTATAGAATTATATACTAGGAAGACATGGTTTGTATTGTTATTTTCTACTTGCGATTTCAATAGTTCCTATTTTCATATATAAAAAGTAATATGCTTTAAAATATCGAGGATAAATAGTAAATATATTTCTTTGACTTCTTGACTAGGTTTCTTTGACTTGAAAAGGATTTATAAGACTTATCATTTCTGTTAAAACAATAATTTATTTAATGGTTTGGTCAGTTGAAGATCAGTAAAGCAAACAACAGCCGCTTGAGAGCGAAACGGTTGCTGGGCCGGACGTTGAGTAAGAGATAAGTACAAAGGCCGATAGCCAAAGCCACTGAACATCTCATAGCGTTTCCCACAAACACCACGAAAACTTCGTGTTTTGCATGGTATTAAGAGTATTATGTTGAAACGCGCCAATGTTACAGTAATATAGTGCTGGGTATCACCGCTACTGTGGCTGCCATGCCGCGGTTTAGACTGTTCCACTGGCGGTGAGTATAATTTATAATTAATAATATTTTTTTATGTTCATTTAAGAACCACTAGTATATTGTAATTTATGCAATTGAAGTAGTAATAAAAAATTATTTATAAAAAAACTTTTTTTTTTCACAGGGTATTCGCTTTATTTATTATCTACATTATTGCATCGCTTTACTTAATTAAATCGACAACTGCAGTGAGTAGAATTTAATTTATTGATTTATTAATTAAAATTTTTGTAAAACTACCGAAATTAAAATAAAACCATAATAATGATCATTTATGTCTAATTTATTTTAACATTTTATTTAATATTTTTTTAATTTAGTAATTGTGTTTAGTAGTTATAAATACAACACTTAAAAGTTAATTATTAGCTAAACTTATTGGTTTTTGGAAAACTAAGTTTAGAAGTAGTTTTACGTTTAGTTGACTCTAAATTTGTATCCGCAAATTTTTTTATAGTTTATTTATACAGAAAGGTCGAAAAAATAATTGTTTTATTTAATTTACATAAGTAGCTAATACGACCCATGATAAACCCGATCAACGTTATGAATGGATTTGAATTCAGAGCAGGTGTGTTCTCCTTTGATATAATCATATTTTTATCTTCCGAATTACTACTCCAACAATGTTCTGGCAAACAAGGCTGAATAGGTCAAAAGGCTAAATTTATTTATCGAATTTTTTTCATGGAGAAAATGCTTACCTAGTTTATTTTTATAATCTGTAGATTTCATTTTAATTTAAATAGACCATCTTAAATTTTATTGAATAACGTTAATTGTTTTTAAATAATTTTTTAGATTCAAGTTATGGATAATTCAAAGTATAGCTATAGAAATAAGATATTTTTTATTTAAATCATATCATACCACAATAAAATAAAATAATTATTATAAATAGTGTGTAATTATAGCGAAAATACACACGTGTATAATTAGTTAAAAGTTCATTATAATTAATAATGTGAAGACTGAATGCTCTCTGAGTTTGATTAAAACAAGATAAAAAACTCAACCCACGTGGATATGTTTAAGCGGATGCAAATAAAGTGATCAATGAATTATTTTGTTCCTATAAAAAGTATTTTTAACGTTTTATATCAAAAAATATATTTACAGAAGCTGAGTTAAAAAAAGTATTTTTAGATATTCGTCGGTATAGAACTACTACTAATCATTTACTGGTTGTCAATAATTTAATAAATGAAAAACTTAATTTAATAAATTAAAAAAATTTGATAAATTAAATTCTAAATTATTTATCATATCTCTCATAAGTAAAACAGTTGATTTAAACTCAACGATTTCATAATAAACTTTGTTTATTTTAGTTTTACTCTTCAATGTGTTTTTTAATTTAATTTTAGAATTAATGATTGAATGCTTAGATAGATGAGTGGAGTGACTAAAGAAGATAGAATATGGAACGAACATATAAGAGGGAGTGCAGGTGTAGCGTCAACAATGGATAAGATGAGAGAAAATAGAATTAGATGATTTGATCACGTTATGAGGAGAGAAAAAGTCGTAAGAACAGTTATAGAAATAAATGTTGAAGGAAGAAGAAGTAGAGGAAGACCAAAAAAGAGATGGAGGGATGTTATTGAATGTGATATAAGGATGGTTGATGTGGATAATAGTGTCAAGTAAAAGTTAAGAATAAATGTTGTCGACCACAATAGTTAGGATAAAGACAAAGAAAAAGAATTAATGACTGTAGACATGCTTTTTGGTATATAACTACTAAATTATTGGCGGATATGTTGGTCTATTGAATTTTGGGTTATCTTAAAAATTAAAGTTGATTAATAGCTGCTATAAATTAATTATTTTTAAGAATCGAATTAAACAATTTAATTTGTTTAACACTTAAATTTACTATAATGTTATCTTATGATGAAATGTAGTGTTATTAAACATAAAAACGTTATAAATTTTTATGTTTAACATTTTTTAATTTTAAATTTTACTCAAATTTTTTTTCGTTTTACATATTAACATTCCTACAATTTTGTGTTTAATGATAAATGGGTGTGAAAAATATTCACTGCTATAAGCAGTTTTTAATGCATGCAAAATACTGTTTTTTTCTTTAGTAGATTTTTTCTAATTCTAACGTTTAAAAATTATTTATTCTTATTTTACGTTATAAGTTATACTATGTTTAACAATATTTTTATTTAATTGATATTACATATTTTAATTTTTTGTTTTTCATTTTAACAAAATTTTACGTTTTAACGATATGATTATAACATTACTCATAACGTTTCTTGCTCTTATTTTTTATAATCAAAATTAATATCATGTATTATCGAAAAAATGAATGATACTTTTACAAATAATGAGAAACAGAAGAGAATATCATTTCTTTTTCATGAAAAAAGGTTGTAATATTAATTTATTAACTAGACAAGTAAAATTTCTACAAAAAAATTATTTTCATTATTTTAATTATATTTATAATTAGTTCAAATTTTATAGTAAAAGTAAATGTTTAAACAATTTATAATACCAATTTATCACTTTTTTCTTTATATTTATGTTAATAATTTATTATAATCCGTTTAGACTAAAATGATAATTACACTAATGTATACTTATCATTTTTTCTAATTTGCATAATATCTCTCTCTATGGTTTCAATCCGTAGATTAGTTTGCAGCCATCTTCCAGTCTTCCCTCTTATCCGCCTTCCTTTTCATTCACATCCTTGGTCCTTTATTATCTGTTGAATGAATTCCAATCTTGGTCTACCCCTACGGTTCTTCCTTCTACTGTTCCTTCTATTATCAATTTCAACAACCCTTCGTGTCTCATTATATGACCTATCCATTCGTTGCGTCTTCTGACTATGTTATTCCATAGTAACTTTTGCATAATATAGCTATTAATATATCGCGCCTCTACAACAAGACATCCGCAACTTAAAATTTGTCAATTTTGAGTTATAACCATTTTCTGGTAGCAAAAAAAGAGCTCTATACAATAGAAGAAAGCGCAAATTCAATATCATAATTCGTATTGCTACTATAAAACTATGTCAGTTTAGATTTATTTAATTTTTAGTTAATTTTCCAAGCAACGGAACTATAATTACTTCATGACAGAATACACTTTTTATTTTATCCATTTCATTACTATAATCAAATTTTAAGACTGCCTTATTTTGATTTATTACGCACTGTCTTAATAATTTAAAATATTACACTAGTATTATTCGACTTATGATACACAAAATGTACATAGCTTAAATTTAATACTGCCATTTATTATTTCATGGCTATCTTAAAATCAATTTGTGTAGGCATTAAAACCACAACTCAAAATAAGACAGCCTTAGATTCACTTATAAAATTGTAAAATAGTTTAAGTGAATATTCCATAATATTTGAATAACTAATATTGTATAATATGTTTATGAGTGTACAAGTTTCTAGTTTCAAATTTATGGGTAAAAAAATTTATACAATATCTTAATTATAAACTTATAATCGCTTTTAGTTGTAGCTGTATTTTTCTACAGATGTGATATACTACAATTTTTTAAATATCATGAAGAATTATTCAATTTAAATTTGATTAATAGTTAATTTTTTTTTTTAATACAATTATTTTGATTTTAGCAATTTAATTTATACTCGGATCAAAATAGAGATCAATTATACAACGATAGATATTCTGTATTCAATCAAAGATCAAATTCCACAAATTGTACGCCAAAATGTTATGCAGAAAAGGGAAGCAGAGTAAGTCGATTTCTTTCAAAAAATTTTTATAAAAATTTGGTATAATCAATTTTTGATTTAGGGACCGCCTGGTTCACCGGGATTGCCCGGACCTCCTGGAGCAAGAGGTTACCAAGGACAAGAAGGTCTTCCCGGTAAATATTACACTTATTTTTAAATTCACAAAAACAGATTAAATTTTAAGTTATGTGCTAACATAAATGAAGAAATGTTATAATATTATTAAATGTTACTATTTTATAATTCAGGACCCTCGGGTGATAAAGGAGATATGGGAATTATTGGACCTCGTGGACCTAAAGGAGATCGAGTATGTTGTTTTTCTTATAACACGTACAATTATTATTTGAATAATTATGATTTAATTTAAACTAAATTACATATAAAAATTAAAACAATTAAACAAAAAAATTTTTTTTTTTTATTTTATTTTATTTACTATATTATAACTATTCAAATTATCATATTATCAATATTCATTTTAATTAAAACGATTGATTATCTTTAATCACATTATTTAATATACCGTTCTTATTTACAGGGAAGGATTGGTCTACCAGGTTTTCCAGGTATTTATATATTATAAGTTATATTTTACAATAGTTTACTTGCATAAACTATTTTATATCTATTACATTAGAATAATTCCTTTTTATTTTACTCTAGTCTTCTTATTTTTCCTCGTCTTAATCCCAACTACTTAGGGTCGGCCACCCTTATCCTAAACTTCCACTTGACACGATCTCCCACATCATCTACGCTCACATAAGCTATCCTCATATCGCATTTAATAGCATCCCTCCATCTCTTTTTTGGTCTTCCTCTATTTCTTCTTCCTTCAACATCCATTTCTATAACTGTTCTTCAAGCTTCCGACTCTTCTCTCCGCATAACATGACCAAACCATATAAGTATATTTTCTCTCATCTTATCCATTGTTGACGCTACACCTGCACTCCCTCTTATACGTTCGTTCCATATCCTATTTTCTCTAGTCACTCCACTCATCCATATAAGCATTCACATCTTTGCTACACTCATTCTCTGCTCTACTTTCTTAACTTAAACTTTCCACCTCTCCTATCATGTCCTCGCTTATTGTCACTGATCTCCTCATTTTAACTTCTTCCTGTTCTCCTTATTTTACTCTAGTATATTTTAATTTTAAATTTTAATTTAAATCAATTAATTTATGAAAATAAATTAAATTTTTTGTTAAACAAAATATATTTATATTTCTAGGTCAAAACGGAGTTCCTGGACAACCAGGACTTCCTGGAGATCCAGGTCATAATGGAATAGATGGATGCAATGGAACAGAAGTAAGTTAACCATATGTTGATTTTATTTAAAAATATACTTACTTTTTTTTTAATATTTAATTTTATGCGCATTCTTTAAAACCAGATAATTTTATGAAAAATAGTTATAACTATAATTATAACTAATAACGAATTTAAATAATTATATTATTTTTATATATTATATATTATTAATCGTATAATAACAAATTATAATTGGTATAAATTAAAGGGAGACACAGGTCGTGATGGGCCACCAGGTTTACCCGGTCCACGTGGTTTTCCAGGGTTGCCTGGCGACAAAGGTACGTGCCATTAATACAATTTTTACAAAGACTTCAACGGGTGGTCATGTTATGTCATATTTTTTTTACTATTTATTTAATAGGTCCTAAAGGAGAACCTGCTTATACATCCATTAACAATAAAGGACAAAAAGGAGAACCTGGTTTAGATGGGCTTCAAGGTATGTTATACTTATTTGTCTAATCACATATAACATAGACAATTATTTTTTATTATTATTTAATAACAAAATGTTAATACCTGTCAATTTTTTAAACAATATCGTTGAATAACCGTGTAAGTTAATCAAAATTTTCAATAATAGTATTTTTAAAAATCTTAGAATAATAAATATAAAAGGTGATGGTAAATATAATATTTTTTATTTGAAATACATTTAAATTCAGTATTTGAGCAATTTTGTGTATTATAAAAATGAATACTAATTATTATATCAAATATTTTGAGTCCAGAGAATTATATATTACACAATTTTAATTTTTAGTATGTAAACTATTTTTATATAAAATATTAAGTGTATAAACTTAATTATTTTTTTTTACTTTTCTCTAGTCCCTGATATTTTAAAAAATTATCGTTATTTTAAAATTCTTTGTCATAGTAAATTTAAGATTTTAAGTATCAAAGTTTTGGGTATGTGACTGAATATTTCAAATAAAATTATATGTATAATAAAAATTGATCACTTGTGGCTAGTTAATTAAGTAAAATTAAAACTATATTAAAAATATTATTATCAATTATTATGTATGTGTTTAGCGTTGATAATGGTAACATTGTTTCCGAAATACGTATCCGCGACTTTTCATTAATTTTTTTGTGGCTTTTGAGTTTAATATTTTTAATATTTTTTAGTTTTTTTAAATTAATAATATTTTTAATATAGTTTTAATTTTACTTAAAATTATATGTATTATTTCAAGTTTTTTTAATTAAAAAAAACTCAAAAATAAAAATCAAAATTTTGGGGTCGACACATTAATCTTAACATTTTTTTTTAAATATTTGTAAAAATTGATGTTATTACATATTTTATCAAATTCATTTAGAAGTTTTTAGGTAACCCTTATTTGATAATTTTTATTATATATATATAGTGAATATAATTAATATAATATTTGACTGAGTGATACCGTAATAATAGCATACAAAGTTTACCATATAATTATACAGAATGTTCAGAAGTAAGAAAACAGGTAAATTGTTATAAACAATGAGAATAATAGAAACCCGTTTCCTTACTTATTGAATACCAGGGACGGCGCCAGAATTTTTTTCCTTGGGGGGCGGTAGAGGGCAAGCTATTTTTTTGAATAGGCGAACATAACACTACATCTATCGGTAAAAAAAAATTAATGATTTATATATAATACACCAATTAACTTTACATAACCTACTAAATATATTATAAAATTTTAACTAACTAGTTATGTTTAAAATGAAAATACAATAAAAAAAGATAAGATTTTTTTAAACAAGCATTATTCTATGGTTGTGATGAGCAGAAGAAAATTTGTCAACAATGGATTCCAAATCTAGGTTTTTGGAAATATTTTCTCTATTGAAAGAACTGTTAAAACTGATAATCTTGTGTTGATCATTTTATTTCTTAAATAAGTTTTAATTTGTCGGAGACTAGAAAATGTTCTCTCAATACCGGCACTTTAAGGAGGTATGATAATTGTTATAGTACATTACAAATATAGTTCAGAAAAGGTCAATTTGTAATTTTCAAGCAACTGTATGAATTCAAGTTTAGTATCAGCTTTAGTTTTTTTTCTTTTTGATGTCTATCTATGAGTTTGGGTATTAACTTCAATTCAGATTCCAAGCTTTCAATATCCACTTCATAGTGTTTGGCAAAAGGTAATAATACTTGCAAGTCTAAAAAAGATTTATTTTGAGGATTTAAGAAACTAACTAATACCAGATAATAATGAATTATTATCAGAAAATCTTCTTTTAATTCATTGATCAATTACTGGAAAAAATATAATAGTATAATTCTTACTCATAATCTCCCTATTTTCAAAAATTGCTAGTTCTATAATGTACGATACAAATTTAGCAAGCAATTTACGAAAAGTTCTTCTATGTGTGTTTTCTTCCTGTAACGGGATATTATTAATTTTAGCAAACAAAACAACTTTTTCCAAGAGCACATCAAATAATTTATCAACTGTTCGGAATTGTTTAAGATAATCTATCAATGATTCGACCATTATATAATCTTGTACCTAAATCTGATTCGGGTAGATAATCAGAAATAATTTTTATTTGACTAAATGTATCACAAAAATAAATTCAAAATTAATGTGAAACAAAATTGATTTTACTTCTATACTTTTTTCGCACTTTGATTCCATGTTAATTTGATTTAGAAGTACTAGAATAACAGAAAATGTTTCTCTAACAGCAATACATGCAGATATCTGGCAAATCCACTAGTGTCACATAACTTTTTAAGTTCAACTGTATTTTTTTTAGGAAATGATTCTTTCTGAATACCTAAGAGGTCATATGTACTGTTGATCTACTTATGAGGTTATACAACTGTTGAAGAAGTGATATAAATTTTTTAATTTCTAGTACATTTTTACAAACATCAACAATCACTAAATTTAAGCGATGATTATAACAATGTGTGTATAATGCTTTTGGAACTTCCTTTTGAAAAATTGCTTGCACACCATTTTGATTACCACTCATTACGGTAGCGCCATCGTAAATTTGAGCTATACAATTTTGAATGTTAATCTCAAAAGCAGATAAAGTTATTTTAATAAATTCAAACAACGATTTGGCATTTAATTCAGAACACGGTACATACCCCAAAATTTGTCCATTTACTATGTTATTGTAAAAATAACGTAGCATTACTGATATATGTTCAGCAGTTTTACTTATATCTTTAGTTTCATCAGCCAAAATTTAAAAGTACTTAGATTACTACAGCTCATTTACAATTGATTCTATGACCATTTAATTCATAATACTAAATTATTTATTTTATATACTGTGATGTGTATATTTTGCATTTTTAGGTAACTCATCGATTTTTTTTTTTAATCTAGTATCTCTTTTGGCACAAAAATTTAATAGTTCTAAGAAGTTACCTTTATTTATGCTATCGCTATTTTCATTATCTCCACGTTGAACAATGTTTTGACAGGCTGTAAAAAGTAAAATTTCTGCAACAGTTCTATTAAAATAACGATTTACTTTTACAACTGTCTCATTTTCTCTATTAATAAGAGTTAAAACAGATTTTCCAGTTTTTTCAGTCATTTTGTATCCTTCCCATTTAGTCGTACATAATTTATGTGACATTAATTTCAGAGGAATTAGTTAAAAAAAAAACCCAGTACAGGGAGTCGCGGCACAGTGGTGACGTAGCATAGATGTATCAAGTATAATGATATCTGACAGTTATTAAAATCACTATCAAAAAAAAGAAACGCTTCGATGCAAATCTTTAGATAGTGTTTAATTTTAAAAAATTGGTGGATTATTCCAAAAGCTACATGATCTGCTAGTTCCTTATTAATATCCTGATTAAGATAAAGTAAGTCAAATGAAAAAGGGAATATTAAAAAATTTATTTCTCAAAAAAAAAATTATGTTGATCCATACACTTTTCAATTAGTTATAGCATTATAAAGTTAAAAATGTAAAAAATAAAATCGAGAATTTTCACACAATAATAGCATTCGGTAGCCATTTTCACAATGAAGATAAAATAAAGTCCGAAATTTTTTTTTTCCATGATAAAGTATATTACATTAGCTTTATTTTAAGATATATATAAAAGTGTCAGACTTTCCGGAACATTTTCAAAAATCAAGTTGAAAAAATTAATTTTTGTAAAAAAGTTGTCATTTTAAATCCCCTCCCGTGGGCAGGTAAAAAGTCAGATTTATAAAAAAAATATACCAAATGTTAGGTAAAGACATCATGCATCTATAAAAATAAGAATTATATTGATCCATACATCTTTCAAAAAGTTATGGCAGTTTTAAGTAAAAAAAATTGAAAAAATTTCGAAAATTAGCGATTTTTAAATTTGTAATTTTTTTGGAGGTTTCCCTAATTTACGGAGAACGAGGGATTTTTTTTCAATTTTTGAGGGTAATGTCTTCGACTAGATACGATTTGTGATCTTTTGACATATCATTGAAAGAAATCGGTTCGGTGAGAGCTGAGAAAAAGTGGTAACAGAAAAAAAAAAAAAAAAAAAAACACATCTTAGTAAAACCAATACCTTTTCAGCTTCGCATCGAAGCTAAAATCGACAAGGAAAGCAATAACACGAATTTTCCAAAACACTGTATTCTAGCCATGGGTACAATTTGAACCACTCGGAATGAACATTCTTCCATTCTTTCCCAAATTTTTTCGTGAATAATTTTTTAATACCGACTTAGTAGGGTTATCAGAAAATATCTGTGTGATGTCACATTGCCCACTTTGAAGTAATAAACTTTTTGCCGCTACGAGATTTTCTTTCCGATGGGCAATTTTTACTAGATCACAGTCCGCAATATCGGAATCTGTTGACGATTCATCAAAAGTGCCTAAAAGCAAATCGAAATACGAAAATTTTGCCGAGTATTGAAGAATTTTAATCACTACTTAAATTTAGCTTTTACACCGATGAATAAATTTTATTTAGTGTACCTACACAAATGTGCTAGTAACCTGGTGTACACAATTTTTTTGTTAACAATATATTTTAATATAGGTATCTACTTAAATCAATTGACAAATATAAATTTAGCTTTGATGCGAAGCTGATAAGGTATTATTTTAATATGATGTTTTTTTTTTTTGTTATTTTTTTTTTTGTGTCTATTACCACTTTTTTCAGCTCTCGCCGAACCGATTTCTTTCAACGATACGACGAAAGATCACAAATAGAATTTAGTCGAAGACATTACCTTCAAAAATTGAAAAAATTTCCCTCATTCCCAGTAAAGGGGAGAAACCTCCAAAAAAATTACAAATTTACAAAAAGCTAATTTTTGACAAACTTTTAATTTTTTTTACTTAAAACTGCCATAACATTTTCAAAAATGAACAAATCAAAATAATTTTTCTTTTTTATAGATGCTTTATGTTTTAACCTATCATTTGGTATATTTTTTTTATAAATTTGACCCTTTACCTGCTCACAAGGGGGATTTAAAATGACAACTTTTTCAACTTAACTTTTGAAAGTGTTCCGGAAAGTTTGACACTTTTATATATATATATCTTAAATTAAAGTTAATGTGATTTACTTTATTATGGAAAAAAAAATATTTCGGACTTTATTTTGTCTTCGCGGTGAAAATAACTACCAAATACAATTTTTGTGTAAAAATTCTCGATTTTATATTTTACATTTTTTACTTTAAAATGCTATAACTTTTTAAAAAATGTATGGATCAATATAATTTTTTTATGAGAAGTAGTATTTATATACATCTTTCATTCGACATACTTTTCTTAATCAGGATATTAATAAGGAAATAGCAGATCATGTAGCTTTTGGAATGATCCATCAATTTTTTAAAATTAAACACTATCTAAAGATTTGTATCAAAGTTTTAGCTTCGATGCGAAGCTGAAAAGGTATTGGTTTTACTAAGATGTGTTTTTTTTTTTTTTTTTTTGTCTGTTACCACTTTTTCTCAGCTCTCACCGAACCGATTTCTTTCAATGATATGTCAAAAGATCACAAATCGTATCTAGTCGAAGACATTACCCTCAAAAATTGAAAAAAAATCCCTCGTTCTCCGTAAATTAGGGAAACCTCCAAAAAAATTACAAATTTAAAAATCGCTAATTTTCGAAATTTTTTCAATTTTTTTTACTTAAAACTGCCATAACTTTTTGAAAGATGTATGGATCAATATAATTCTTATTTTTATAGATGCATGATGTCTTTACCTAACATTTGGTATATTTTTTTTATAAATCTGACTTTTTACCTGCCCACGGGAGGGGATTTAAAATGACAACTTTTTTACAAAAATTAATTTTTTCAACTTGATTTTTGAAAATGTTCCGGAAAGTCTGACACTTTTATATATATCTTAAAATAAAGCTAATGTAATATACTTTATCATGGAAAAAAAAAATTTCGGACTTTATTTTATCTTCATTGTGAAAATGGCTACCGAATGCTATTATTGTGTGAAAATTCTCGATTTTATTTTTTACATTTTTAACTTTATAATGCTATAACTAATTGAAAAGTGTATGGATCAACATAATTTTTTTTTTGAGAAATAAATTTTTTAATATTCCCTTTTTCATTTGACTTACTTTATCTTAATCAGGATATTAATAAGGAACTAGCAGATCATGTAGCTTTTGGAATAATCCACCAATTTTTTAAAATTAAACACTATCTAAAGATTTGCATCGAAGCGTTTCTTTTTTTTGATAGTGATTTTAATAACTGTCAGATATCATTATACTTGATACATCTATGCTACGTCACCACTGTGCCGCGACTCCCTGTACTGGGTTTTTTTTAACTTTAATTTTGCTAATTATTCTAGTATTTTATAATTTCTAAACTCGTAAAATTGGAATTCAACTTTTTCCTCTTTAAATGTGAATGAAGCAGTAAATAGCTTCATGGATGCAGATCACTCTTCAATATTGCAGTATGTTCCTCAACATAAATTTCATTCCTATAAATTCCCCTCATGGTTTAATTCAGAATTGACATATCTTGTTCAACCAATTCTTGAATTTGGTTTGTTGTTATGGGATCCTCACACAGCTACCCTCCTGTGCTGGGTTTTTTTTATTTTCTTTTTCATTATTTTAAAGGATATTGGTTATTTATGCACACCTATAAATAATAGTATTAAACATTATTTAAGGAAGTTGATAAAATATTATTTTAAAAAGTATTAAAAAATTATTTTTATTTTTAGTATTAATTTTTAAATAATTTATTGAAATATATTTATATTTATTTGATACAAATTTTAATAATATATATATTTTTACTTATTTTTCATAAAATTATTATCTAGAAGATTTAAAATTTTGATATTGAATAAAATTACAACACACAAGAAGGATATAAAATAAAATTATTTAAGATATATCTATAGGGTATTTGATACCAAATAGAAGTATTTAAATACTACTGAAATAAAAGGAAAAAACCCAGCACAGGGGAGTCGCGGCACAGTGGTGACGTGGCATAGTTGGATCAAGTATAATGATATCTGACAGTGATTAAAATCACTATAAAAAAAAAACGCTTCGATGCAAATCTTTAGATAGTGTTTAATTTTAAAAAAATTGGTGTTTTATTCCAAAAGCTACTTGATCTGCTGGTTCCTTATTAATATCTCGATTAAGATAAAATATGTCGAATGAAAAAAGGTTTATTAAAAAATATTATTTCTCATAAAAAAATTGTGTGGATCCATAAACTTTTCAATAAGTTATAGCATTATAAAGTTAAATATAATATAAATAATAAAATCGAAAATTTTCACACAAAAATAGCATTCGGTAGCCGTTTTCACCATGAAGACAAGTCCAGAGGTCAAATTTTTTTTTTTAAAATTAAAGTACATTACATTAGCTTTAATTTAAGATATATATAAAAGTGTCAGACCTTCCGGAACATTTTCAAAAGTTAAGTTGAAAAAGTTAATTTTTTGTGAAAAAGTTGTCATTTTAAATCCCCCCCTGTGGGCAGATTAAGTGTCAGATTTACAAAAAAAATATACCAAATGATAAGTAAAGACATCATGCATCTATATAAAAAAGAATTATATTGATATGTTTATTTTTGAAAAAGTTATGGCACTTTTAAGTAAAAAAAATTGAAAAAATTTCGAAAATTAGCGATTTTTAAATTCGTAATTTTTTTGGAGGTTTCCCCCATTTACGAGGAACGAGGGAATTTTTTTCAATTTTTGAGGGTAATGTCTTCGACTAGATACAATTTGTGATCTTTTGACGTATCGTTGAAAGAAATCGGTTCGGTGAGCGCTGAGAAAAAGTGGTAACAGAAAAAAAAAAAAAAAAAAAACACATCTTAGTAAAACCAATACCTTCTCAGCTTCGCATCGAAGCTAAAATGTCAAATATTGCTAAGTCTACGCATAAAATAGCTTATTAATTTTTATTAAAATTAGGTATTATAGTCATGATTAATTAATTTGTTATTAAATTTACCACATACACACACAACTGTGAACTGTACATACTATACGAGGACACACAGTGTGGAATTCCCACGATTAACATAATTTAAACGAACGTGGTTATTAATCTTTTTTTTGTATTTAAATCGTATAAATTACAATGATATCGGCATTTCGAGAAATGAAAACTATTTCTATATTATTTAACGATAAAATATGATTATATACTCTCTTTAATAATACGGACCATATTATACAATAACCGATAAATCACCTACTCAAATCAAAATTTCTGTGATGACTAAGGGAGCGAGAGAAGGGCAAGAATCTGTCCTGGGGGGCGACTACCCACTCACACCCCCACTTTGGCGCCGTCCTTGCTAAACATTCTATATAATATTAAATATATACATATTCAATAATATATTATGGGAAAATATAGAAAAACTGAAACAAATATTTATTAAGTATTATTAATAGAATAAAATGATTTAGTTCCAATTCAATTGGGCACAACATATATTTGTAGCTAAGCTAGCATTTATAGCTAAATATTTTAATGATGTAAATACACATATTTTTTTAGGTCAACCCGGTAGTCCTGGTTTTCCAGGGTTAATTGGACCAACAGGACCTCAGGGTGATGTTGGATTAAAGGTATTTATATAAATATTTTTTTGCATTATCTATTTATTTATTTATGTTATGGAAATTTTTTCATTTTAGGGTAATAAAGGACCTCCTGGAGTAAAAGGAGAAAAGGGTAAGTGAACCATAATGATTATTTTAAATTATTAATGTGTATCAAAAAACAAAGTCTTAAATTACTGTATCAATTTTTTAATGTAAATTTTAACGAATCAATGAGAAAATTTAAGTTTTTAATATATCATACATTATATTATAGGAAATATGGGATTAGGGTACGAAGGTCAAAAAGGAGATAAAGGGTTTAAAGGAGAACGAGGACCTCCTGGACCAGATTTATACTATTCATTACCAGGAAATGCATCAGTTGTTGGGCCTCAAGGAGAAAGAGGTGAACCAGGACCTAAGGTAAAAAGTCAAATATTTTTAGTACAAGGTGGGGCACTAAAACGGCCGATTTTCAAAGATAAATTATAAATTATAAAATAAAAAAACGAATAAAAATTAATTATTATTTATTATAATGCAGTACATAATTTGCCATTTATTTTTAAAAAATGATGTCTTCAAGATGATGGCCATCTTTTCTCAAGCACTCTTCTAGCCTATTTCGTATATTTTTCACTACACGATGTATCACTTCCAAAGGTATACTGGTAATTTCTTCTTTAATTTTGTTTTTTAGTTCATCAATATTTCGAGGTTTCTGTGCATAGACTTTACTTTTTAAATACCCCCACAAAAAGAAGTCACATACTGATAAATCCGGTAATCGAGGTGGCCAATAAATATCACCATTTTTGGAAATAATGCGATTTCTAAAAATTTGTTGAATAGCATTTATTGATACTCAGGTTGTGTAGGATATCGCGCCATCTTATTGGAACCAAAAGTTATCATTTTGAGGAAACTTCGTTAGTTCACCGACCAAAAAATTATTGATCATATTGACATAACGATTTGAATTAACAGTTGTTCTTCGTCCATTTTGTCATCATGAAAATACAGGCCAATGATTCCATAATGTGAAATTGCACACCATACAGTTACCCTATCGCTGTGTAAAGGTCGTTGATGAAGTTGGCGAGTATTTTCTTCAGATCAATAACGACAATTTTGCTTATTCACAAAACCATCAAGATGGAAATGTGCTTCATTAGACAACCAAACATTTTGAATAAAATTTTCGTTCTCGTTCATTCGGGTTAGCATTTCTCGACAAAAAGTTATGTGGCTAGAGTGATCTGCAGGTTTTATTTCTTGAACCACCTGCACCTTATACGGGTTAAAGTTTAGGTCCCTGTGTAAAATCCGAAGTAGACTTCTACTAGATAAATTTAACGATAACGCATGTTTTCGTACAGAACGTCTCGGACGCTTTATAAGTACTTTTACAGCAGCGACGTTTTCAGGCGTGCGAATGGTTTTTTGTGTAACAGGTTTCTTTTTTAATGCTGAACTCGTTTCTTCAAAGTTGGTTATCTATATTTTAATAGCCTTAGCCGATGGTACCGAATCATGGCGTTTAAGATTAAAATGAAGACGAAATTCACGCTGTACGGCTACGTAACTGTCATTATTTTTGTAAAACGATTTTATCGCATAGCACGTTGTTTACCACTCCACTGTTCCAAGTTTACTAAATAGCATGTTGTCTTTGAACTAATAATATTTAGTGAGAATTCTTATCTTAATTACTACTGAGAAAATCTATTTTTAAAATCGGCCGTTTCAGCCAACCCTGTATATAGTAATATTTTTTAATAATTACAATTACACTTAAAATTAAATATTAGGGCGATATAGGTCCAAAAGGTCTTCAAGGAGAACCTGGACAAATTGGTGATCCGGGAATTTCAGGTGAATATATTTGTTTTTTTATTTTAATTGAAAATAAACAAATAAAAATATGTGGATAAAATAACTATTTATAATAATATTCGTTAAAATTAGGCGAACCTGGTATTAAAGGAGAAAAAGGTTTACAAGGACCACCCGGAATAAGAGTAAGTTAGAAAAATAACGAGAAATCCCATAGAAGTTCATTTAAATTGTTATAATATTAATACTATAAAATACATTTTTAGGGTCGTGATGGATATCCAGGACCACAAGGACTTGTAGGATTAAAAGGCAATGAAAAATTATTTTATTATGTCAAATAATATGTAATAAAATTATTGTATTATTTACCTAGGTGATAGAGGAAGTGAAGGCTTGCCCGGAATTCCAGGTCGTCCAGGATTAAAAGGGGAACCAGGTTAAATTTAACAAAACATTTATTTGAATTTTTTATACCAGCATATCGATGTACTAAACAGTATTCTAATTTAGGCAGAGATGGTCCAGCAGGTGCAATGGGACTTCGAGGACCACCTGGCCCCCCAGGAGTAAGTCAAAATTTTATTTCCTACTATAAACTTCATTTTGTAACAATTTTATTATATTAAATTTATCCTAAAATTTAGGGTGGAAATGGCAGGCCAGGGCCACCTGGTCCCCAAGGCCCTCGAGGTTATACAGGACCTCCAGGTAATTATTATCAATATTATTGTTATGCTTTTATTATTTTTTATTAGTATAATAATGTTTACTTTCTTTATGAATCGAATAATGAAGAAGCATCATTTGTCATAATCATCAAGTTTTAAAACAACAAATAAAAATTTATGTTTGAGTTAGTGTTACTTTAATTTTATACGTTTCAGTTATATTGTTTCTTAAATTTATAATTTAGTAAGGTTAAAATAAATAATTTCTACCTATATAAAATCTTATAACTTAAATTTGAAGTTGTCTTTAATGGAAATTGCATTAATTAATAGTACAATTTTCCACTAAATTATTTTTTCCCTTTTTATCTAAAATGATTAGTGCGAGATCCTATTTTACTACATTACCTTTAGAAATTCAAAACTAACAATTTCATTTTATAAAAAGTAGTGAATAATTGTTTTTCAAATGACTGAATCAATTTTTTTTTTCATTTTAGGACCTAAAGGTCTAGATGGAGTCGATGGTTTTCCAGGACCACCTGGACCTATTGGTTATCCAGGAGGACCAGGTATGTAAAAAATCATTGTAAAAAATTAATTATAAATTTGTGATTAATAAGATACAAAAAATACTTTAAAATTGTAATATTCAATTAGGAACTCCTGGAGCAATTGGACCCGAAGGAATGCCTGGTGAAAAGGGAACTAAAGGCGAACCAGGTTTAACAGGTAAATAATATCTTATAGCCCAAAACTTGTAGGTCTTAAAATAAAAAAAAGTGTATGTGTATTTGTTGTATTAACATATAAAGGATAAATAATCTTAAAAAAAGTTTAAATGGTTATTAAATCTAGTCATTGATATAATATTTTATTAGATTAATGTTTTAACATATTATTTTATGGACAGATTTAAAAACTATTATTTTTTCATATTTATGTTTTAAAAAATAAATATATTTCTTTATTTTAAATTCCTTTTATATAGGAATCTATTTGATTCCTATGTTTTTGTTATGAACTAGTTATTTTCCTCATTTCTCTGTTATTTTCTATAATTAAGAGACACCAGGAAAACTTAACACAATTTTTTTCAGTTTTTGGTCCCGTATTAATAATATTTTACTTTTAATAATAAAAAGTTGCAGATAGCTTCAAAAACACATAAACTTTAATGTGAAAAATAAATTTTGTTTTAATTATTTAAATTATTTAGTTTATAGATGAAAACATTAAAACTTAATTTTATATAATTTTACCCCGTCAATGAATACAAATTAAAAACTTGGATTAAAATTAAAAGTTACAATTTATATAATAATATGTATGTTTATCAAAAACTCTAACTTTTTTACCTCAAAACTATATTTATGACAAATTACTTTTATTAATAATTTCTAATATATAATTTTGAAAATATGCAAAGGACTCCTTAAAAACTTCATACATTTATTGACATCATTAGATTTTGCCAACTTAAATTCATTGATAAATAATTAATATGTCAATATTTACCCTAGAAAATTTTGTATAGATGGTTCTATTACAGCCACCTAAGTTATTTCAAATATTACTTAAACATTTTTAACATAGTATTATACACATTCTTTTTTAATGATAGTAAGTGACATTAATTGTGTTCATGCAATTTGAAAATTAAAAACTCTAAGTTCGAAGAATAGGTGTGCAAGCTGACCTGTTGATTTAGAGAGGCCTTAGTGGGTATGTGTGCATAGTCTGGTGATGTCTGTAGCAATCATGTTGTTGCATGTGGTTTAGTGTATAAAGAAAGAGGACGTGAAAGAGGCGTTGACTTCTATTGTCTCGACCAATAAGGATGCCAATCCTACCGGTTCAGTTGTAGACCGGCTGTATGGAAATGGCAAAGGGCGACACGCACGATGAGTAGTTCCTATTAGGATTGCTTAACCGATGACCGGGCTAACACGACTCCACGTGGGATGTAACTCATGCAGGGCCCAGTCTTGAAGAACAAGAGACTACGCTGCTATAGGTGCCTTGAACGAGAACATGTACAAGATGGCTTGTAGGGGTCCTGACCGGACAGGTGCGTGCTTCACATGCAGAGGAGTGGGCCACCAAGCCAAGGACTATCCTGGAAAGTTAAGAGGGCCTGAGAAGCGGTGATCAGGTCTCTTAGATATTTGTGTTTTGTGTTTGTTTGTTATGAGTTATTTTCCAATCCATAGCAAAGTCATACCACCGCGTCAAAGTGGTGTGACCTGGTCAACGGATCCCACTCTGGGATCCGGTTAACGTGGCAGGCTATTTCGTGTTTTGATTCAGCTCTTGATTAATTTTGAGTTGAGTCACAACATGGCGGTGTAAGTTTTATTGTGACGTTGGTTCCCTGAAGTAATGCCTCAGGGTATTTCTAGGGCGGCCAACAATTAGTCGACCGTGGAAAAAAAAAGCATTAGAATAAAAATGTTCTATATCTTGTTGATATAATATATAAAGTCTATAGATTTTCACTCTTCTAGAGATAACTTTCAAAAGTTATCTCTAAAATTGCATTATAATTTTTTGTGAAATACATAAATAAACGAAAAAATATTCATTTAAAATAAATCATTCTATTTTTATATATGTATGAGTTATTTAATTTTTAAATATATTATTAAAAATATATATTTGAATTATTATAGGTATGCCTGGTGCAACTGGTCCAAGAGGTAAATATTATTACTCTTCCCAAAAATTTTAAATACAACATGTTTAAAATGAATATTATATTATAATAATACAATTTTAAAAAATAGGCTATATTGGAATTCAAGGACCGCCAGGGCCTCAAGGTTTTCCGGGAGAAAAAGGAGCATCTATAATGGTAATATTGAATAATTTAATTCAGGAGTGGACTTGTCACAATTTTTATATTTAATATTAAAAACATCTAAAATATGTTTACAAGTATTAATCAATAATAATTGGGATAAAATTTTGAGTTATTATAGAATTTAAAAAGTATACTTACTTTATGTGCTCAATCCATCTCCAATTGCAATTTAAACAAAATTTCAGTGATATTATATTATATTTATATAAATTTTAGGGACCTAAAGGATTTGATGGTATTAATGGTAAAGATGGCGATAAAGGAGCAAAAGGAGAGCGAGGTTATCCTGGAGAACGCGGATCACCAGGTACAATATTTTTATTTTAAAGAAAATAAACTTATTATAAATAACATTTTATGAATTTTAGGGGATTCGCCAACAGGCATTGTAGGACCACAAGGTGTTATGGGACCACCGGGTGATAAAGGAGCGGATGGTCTTCCTGGAATACCGGGTGTCCCAGGTGAAAATGCTTGATATTAAAATTTTAACTAAATAATTCTAAACAATAATATTATAAAGGTCGTGATGGACTGAAGGGAGATATTGGAGGACGTTGTATTGGATGTCGCCCAGGAGACAAAGGATCTAAAGGAGAAGCTGGTTTATATGGAAATCCTGGATTAATGGTAAATAAATGTTATAACTGTTTTGAAATTTTAATAAAATCAATGATATTTGTTAAAAAAAACTTTTTCAGAGTAAAATTACTTAGATTTAATTTTTTACAAAAAATATATTATATACAAAGTGATCAGTTTATCATAATTCACTCAATGATTTGAAAATAAATACAATAATGGGAAAAAAAAATTTTGATTGCAATTAGTTACATATAATTCATGATTTATGAGCTAATAATTATTTTTTAGGATCATCCCTTATAACTTATAGTGCAGCTAGGAAATAACTACTGATAAAATAGCTGCACCCATTTCTCACTTTCAGTCATTACTTTAAGTTATTAATAACTTCTGAAATACTCATCTAAAACATGTTATCGATCAGTCATTTTCTTAATTAATCATTGTCTACTATATTAGCTAGTTAATTATGCACGTTACCATTCGAAAAATAAAGTTGATACCATTATAAGTTGTGAAGGATGATTCTAAAAACTAATTATTAGCTGATAAAATAAGAAATATATGTAACTACAAAAGGCAAAATTTTTTTTCAATGCTGTATTTATTTTGAAAGTAAATTAGTAGGATTTACGATAAGCCAATCACTCTGTATTAAGTAGAATTTTAACATTTTAATAGGGCCCTCGCGGATCTCCTGGTGAAAGAGGATTCCCTGGTGAACCAGGAGCAGATGGTTTAAATGGCCCACCTGGTGAAATTGGTGAACCGGTAAAATTATATTATTTAGAAATATAATTAAATTGAATAAACCATCATTTCATATATTAGGGTAAAGATGGAACTCCTGGTGATCAAGGAATACCCGGTGAAAAAGGAGAACCTGCTATGGTGCCCTCTAACTTGGTAACTAATATGAAAGGAGATACTGGTCCAAGAGGTGACCGCGGAAGGTAACAGAATTTTTAATTCATTAATTACAATTAATTATGTGATAGTTAAATTTGAGAGATGGTTTAAACTAACAGAATATTACATGTTTAATAGAAACATGTAATAATTGATTATTTGAGAAACGAATAAGTCCAAAACACGATTTAGTAAAATCAGCAAAAAATAGTTTAATTATAATTTTTGAATACTGTTTAAATCCTATAAATCAAAGTAAAGTTTTTAAAATGCATATAATTTATTCTTTGACATTGTGGTGTCATTTCTTAAACTGTGATTTGTTATATTGATTGTTTAATTTAGATAAATACGTCTATAATATTATATATTATAAGTTTTTTTATAAGTTTATTCTATAAATAATTGTGCTATATCTATTTATCATCAACATACATTATAAAAGCAAGACACATATAAAGAAAATTAAAGCAAATCTCTATCCAAATATATTACATAAAAGTTTTATGATATTGAAGTTTATTTCCAAGGTGTAATTATAATAAAACTAGAGGAACACAAATACCTTCAATATTTAGCCGATAAACTTTTCTTATTCAAAATAATACCAAAAAAGTGATTACCAAAAAAAGTAAAGAATCATTATAAATATGTTTTGTTTTCTATCCTCTCTCATTTTTATTTTCTATTTCCTTTTTGTCTTTAATCCTTAAATTACCATCATAGGGTACCTTAACTGGTATTGGGTGTGACTAGCCTGCGGACCCTAGTCAAAAGTGTAGGCAAAATGATGCACCTAGCGTCCTATACAATATGTATTGCCATTAGCCTCAACATTATTCTAAGTAGTTCAGTTATTTTGATCTCCAGATTGACGTTTAGCGCAGGTCTAATGACCCTGTCTAGTAAAAATCAATTGATCAACAACTAATGAACATGCCTCGAATACATTGAGCTTTAAAGAATGAAACTGGAGATTGGAAAATCAGTCTACTTTTTGGAACATTTAAACGTAACACTCTTTTTAAACCTAAAGTGGCTCAAAACTTGTTAAGGAATTAAAAAAGTATTAAGTTATAAATAGTGATCCTACAAGTAATTATATAGAATGATACTGAAACATTAGATATTCAAGAAACAATATTATTCTATTGTAAATTTAATAAATAATGTCAATTTTGAACGGCTCTTACGATCCACAAAAGATTAATTACAAATATAAGAGAGTAAAATATATTAATCCAAGAATCTTATCATTGACAGTGAAAACACATTTTTTGGACATTACATTTACGATAATTATCACCTTTACCATTTACGTGATAGTAACAACGAGCATGCGCTTTCCAAAAATAAACCTCAAGAAGAGAAGGACAATTTCTATAATTACGTAGTTTTAATCTTCTTCTCTTCTTCTTCTTTCTTGCCTTAATCCCAATTACTTGGGGTCGACCACCTTTTTCCTAAACTTCCACTTGACACAATCTACCGCATCATCTACGCTCACATCAGCTGAATACGTTTGCATTCAATAGCATCCGTCCATATTTTTTTTGGTCTTCTTCTACCTCTTCTTCCTTCAACTTTCATTTCTATAACTGTTCTTACGACTTCCGATTCTTCTCTCCGCATAACATGACCAAATCATCTAAGTCTATTTTCTCTCATCTTATCCATTGTTGACGCTACACCTGCACTCCCTCTTATATGCTCATTTCTTATCCTATGTTTTCTAGTCACTCCACTCTCTAATTACATCCTCGCCTATTGTCACTGGTCTCCTTATTTCACCTACCACGTGTTCTTCTTTATCAAACTCGTACTCTATATACTCTGTCTTACTCTTAATTATTCTTAAACCCTTTTCTTCAAGAGCTAATCTTCACATCTCAAGCCTTTGATTAATTTCCCCTCTATACTCCCTCTTATACGTTCTTTCCATATCCTATTTTCTCTAGTCACTCCACTCATCCATATAAGCATTCTCATTTTTGCTACGCTCATTCTCTGCTCTATTTTCTTATCAATAGACCAACACTCTGAACCATACATCATAGCTGACCTCGCTACAATCTTGTAGTATTTACCTATCAGCCTCATTGGAATTCTTTTATCGCATAAGACGGCAGACGCTTCTCTACACATTAACGACCCGCACTTAATTCTGTGTCTTACATCCTCGTCAATACTACTGCTCTTTTGCCTAACTGACTCTAAATACTTAAACCTCTCCAATCATATCCTCGCCTATTATCACTAACCTCCTCATTTCACCTACCTTGTGTTCTCTTTTGTCAAACTCGTACTCTATATACTCTGTCTTACTCCTATTTATTTTTAAACCCTTTTCTTCAAGAGCTGATCTCCACACCTCTAACCTTTGATTAATTTCCTCCCTTTTTCTCCTAAGGAGTCAAACTACTATTATTTTAAAATTTGCGGACGATATGTTATTATAAGTGGAAATTGTAGAAGACCCATAAAATACCCTAGTAACAATATATAGAATACCACAGAATATACAATGCAATTGAACAAAATAAAATATAAGTAATGATATGCAGTAAAATTAATTTTTTCCGAATCAACATAAAAATAGACAATAAACAAATAACACATGTACAACATTTCATATAACTAGGAAGTAATAATATTACTTCCTATATTATATTATATATTTAATATACTATAGTAAAAGATGGCAACAGCAATCATTTTGTTAATAAAATATCCTTATTTTTTAAATACTTATTATTGAGAAATTATCGTTTCCCCCAAACTGATTTTCTACATTTCTATTTACTAAAAAAATTTGAGAACCATTTAGCTTTATCTAATTTTTATTATTTAGCTTTATGGGTCACTACGAGCCAGTGGCGGTTTTAGCGTATGGGTAGGGTAGGCGGCTGCTTGTACCAAAGTTTTTGTCATATATTTGTTAAAAAGTTCATTGCTACGCTCATGTCTGTATTTCATATATTTGCGTGGAGTATTAATATTGATAAGCAAAAAAAAATGTAATTTTTTTTCCATCACCATATCCAATGAGATTCGCTCCTAAGAATTCTTACTCCCCTTAACCACACCCTAAATACAGCCCAAGTCATGTTGTTTTGAATAATTACTTTTTTTTATAATATAATATACTTTTAAAAATAAATATGACGTTTTAAAAAAGTTAAATAAATTATAATAGATAAGTCTTAAGTTTATATATATATATATATTTGTAATAAGTTTTAAAATATAGTTTTTAATTAATTTTATCAAGCTCATTCACGTGAATAGTACCTTTGCATAATTTTACAAAACAACACTAACGTGTATTACTCGTTTGTATTGCTTTATGTATAAACGAAACTTAAAATTTTTCAATAAAATCATTTGTTGGTCCCGCTTACTTCTGATATATTCAAATGACATTTTAATTTAAAAAATAACCGTTTTAGTGTAGACTATGTCCACCAATTATTAGTTTGGCCATAGCCTTTTTACAAATGTTTGAGTTTTGATCGTCCAAGACCATTTTATTCTGTATTGGGTAATGTAATTAGTATTAAATCTACGTAATCGTAGATACGATCTTATCTGTGGTGAAGAGCTAAGAATACTCCAAGGCCCCTCTACCAGTTGTAAGAGGCGACTAATGAGCTTGTGTCAGGTCTACAGTCAGCATAAAAATTATTGTCAACAAATTATAAGGAATCCTGAACAAAATTTAGGCGGATTTTCCCGGATGTACGCAGGGACAACAGAGAGTAATTAAAAATGGAGAAGGAATAAGAAATAAAGTGTTTGATACCAGTCCGACAACTTGTGCGATAGCTGTTTCACTAGTTATGTATACAGGTCTACCCCAACGCTTGTAGTGTCAACGGTGTAGGGACATCACCACTTAACTCTAGGCTGGACTCGTGTATGAGGGAGAAAGATAGATACAAAGTAAGAATAGGTACTTGGAATGTTGGAACATTAACTTGTAGAAGTAAAGAATTAGTAGAAGTATTGATGTGGAGAAAAGTTGACATATGTTGTGTGCAGAAAACTATGTGGAAAGGACAGAAATCAAGGAAAATAGGTGAGGGTTATAAAATAATATACTCAGGAAAGTATAGTTCAAAGAATAAAGGGATAATAATGGTCGAGGAAATGAAAAGTAAAGTAGTAGAAGTGGCTAGGAAAGTGATAGGATTATAGTCATGAAATTGATATTCGATTATTATTGATATAAAAAGTGCTGAATGTAATAAGTGCCTATACACCAAAAGTAGGATGTGATGAAATAGACAAGGAAGTGTTTTAGTGAGAGATAGATGAGGTGATGCAAGGAAACAAAGAAACCTGTTGGTGGGATGAGGACGTTCAAAATATCATAGAAAGCAAGAAAAATCAATTCAAAGTATAGCAAAAAGAGCAAAAGGAGAGAAGATTGGATGGAGTATAAACGCTTACGCAAAGAAGCCAAGTGTCCAGTAAGTAAGGCGAAGTTAAAGAGGTATAATGAGTTTTATGATAGGCTAAAAACAAAGGAAGACGAGAAAAAAATCTATAGACTATATGGTGCATGTTGTTTGCTGACGATATAGTGTTAATAGGAGAAAATAGGAGGGAAATTAATCAAAGGCTTGAGATGTGAAGATTAGCTCTTGAAGAAAAGGGTTTAAGAATAATTAAGAGTAAGACAGAGTATATAGAGTACGAGTTTGATAAAGAAGAACACGTGGTAGGTGAAATAAGGAGACCAGTGACAATAGGCGAGGATGTAATTAGAGAGTGGAGTGACTAGAAAACATAGGATAAGAAATGAGCATATAAGAGGGAGTGCAGGTGTAGCGTCAACAATGGATAAGATGAGAGAAAATAGACTTAGATGATTTGGTCATGTTATGCGGAGAGAAGAATCGGAAGTCGTAAGAACAGTTATAGAAATGAAAGTTGAAGGAAGAAGAGGTAGAAGAAGACCAAAAAAAAGATGGACGGATGCTATTGAATGCGNGAAGTCGTAAGAACAGTTATAGAAATGAAAGTTGAAGGAAGAAGAGGTAGAAGAAGACCAAAAAAAATATGGACGGATGCTATTGAATGCAAACGTATTCAGCTGATGTGAGCGTAGATGATGCGGTAGATTGTGTCAAGTGGAAGTTTAGGAAAAAGGTGGTCGACCCCAAGTAATTGGGATTAAGGCAAGAAAGAAGAAGAAGAGAAGAAGATTAAAACTACGTTTTAATTACATTGGTGACAGGATGCATTCTTATTCCACTTTTTTTTTTATTTTTACTTCCTTCTTGTTAATCTTCATTAAAATTGTTTAGCTTTTACGCATATTGTAAATAGGGAGATAGATAGTTCTATCTATTCAACTATAGATCTTCTATAGTTGTATTTAAAACCTACTTTTTTTAGAATTTTAAATAATTCATTCCATTGTACATTGTTAAAATTTTTCTAAATCTATAAACCTGAATCCTAATTTTTTGTTACCTAAATTTGCATTTACTAATGAAGAATTTAGTCTTATTTGTCATTTTTTTCTATCTTTCTATTTCCAGGACTTGTCCATTAAGTTAATATGTATAAAGAGTTTCAAGGTACTAATNTATATATATATATATATATATATAAGGTATATTATACCTTAATATATATATATATAGGTATATATAAATCCTTATAATTTATTATTCGATAACAATTATAATGATAGACCTTAATAAATATTATTTCAGTGATGGATTACCAGGATTATCCGGATCTCGTGGTCCTGTAGGTCCACAAGGAATAGAAGGAAATCCAGGGTTACCTGGTGAAAAAGTAAGTATTAAATGTAAATAAAATTAAAGTTTATATTGAAAACTTGTATTAGTTTTGTTATTAAAATTAATAAACTATAAACTTGTTAATTTACATTAGGGAGATAAAGGTTTCCCAGGCCACGAAGGTATTCCAGGTTAGTATTAAAAAATAATTACATTTTTACAATCACCTCTTATGTTATATTAATAGTATATAATGAAAAATAGGCCAACCTGGTAACCCAGGCGCAAAGGGTGAAAAGGGTGTTAGTATCAAAGGTGAACAAGGATATTTGGGTAGACCAGGGTAAGCATAAAATTAATTAATTATGAAATATACTCAACACATTATACAAATTAAAAAATAATTAAATATACCAACAACTATTCTTCTAGTATAAAAGGAGAAAAAGGAGAGCCAGGATTTTATGGAGAAAAAGGAGAACCAGGTACTGAATTTTAAAGAAATATATAATTTATACATGAATAAAAAATAATCAATTTGAATATTAAAAATAAGTTTAAAGATTATCATTTTTATATATCAAATTTATAGTAATTTAAAATAACAGTACTATTTATTTATTAATTTTTTATACAAACACTTAGCTTAAAATTATGTGTCGTAACACTTTTATTTATTCATTAAAATGGAGTTTAGAAGTTATATAACAATTATTTCAAAAATTGCATTGAATTTTATAATTAATATATTAATAATTTATAATTCTAGGTCGTTGTGAGGTAATGGATCTAATCAAAGGAATAAAAGGTGAACCAGGGAATCAAGGACAAAAAGGAGAACCTGGTACACCAGGAGCTGAAGGTAAATAATATTTAGAGACATAATATATTTTTTTAAATAATAATTCTAATTTAAATTTCATAGGTTTCCCTGGAGAAAAAGGATTAATTGGACCACCTGTAAGTACCAATTCGCATTATTTTATAATGTACCGCACACACATACACACTTAACATTAAACTTTAAATTTTAATCAAATTTCAAGTTTTCTACTAAAATTACAATTTTTTTCCTTTTGTCAGGGACCCACCGGTACACCAGGCCCTAGAGGAATTCCAGGTAATAAACTCAATAATATGAAAAATAATAAAAAATCTAGTATAAGATTTTTTTAGTCTATAATATTCTTATTTAAAAACTGTTTTTAGGTCCAGTCGGTCCTAGAGGACTTCCGGGACCTCGCGGTGAAAAAGGAAATACAGGTTCAATGGGTTGGTATCTTTTTATAAATTATTTTTACCTAATAAATATCATTTTTGCACGTTAAAAAACTAACATATAATATGTATTTTAAGGCAACCTTTAAGAGAGGTAACGGATGTTAATAAACCCGTGAGAATCATATTAAACTTGATTTTTTATTGTATTTAAGTTCAATTCAAATATATCATTTTTATACTATAATTTCAAGCTTGATTTCTCAATTATTTTGTAATCTATAAATTATGTATAAAAAATATATATGAAATTTATTTGATATAAGCATTAAATTCCTTTGAAGGAGACTAAAATATTATTTAATATAAATTATAAATAAATCAAGTTAATTTTCTAAAATGGAAAATTCATATAATGAGTTATCTCAACTGAGAATGAAAGCTTGTAAGCTAAAAGATAGTGAAAACAATTTGAGATCAATTACATAAAATGCATTTGTTTGTTTTTGGCTATAAACGTGTTATATTTAAATGACGTGTTAAATATATCAGAATTTGGACAGTTAACCAATTACATAAAAAAATGTTAACAGGTTTCCCTGGAGAACCAGGATTTGGAGGAGAAAAGGGATCACCAGGAATGCCAGGATTTAAGGGTAAACTAGTTTATAATAAATATTCAAAAAAAAATTTAATCAATTATTAAAATTTGAATTTTTAGTAGTTTAAATTTTATAATGTAAAAACAAAATACTTATAAAAAATATCATTACGAATTTAGGTGGCAAAGGAGAACCTGGAATATCAGTCATAGGACCTAAAGGATTAACGGGGCCTGAAGGAGAAAAGGGAGAAAAAGGTATTTTTTATCAGAATTTTTACTAAAAATATGGAATTAATCTTTTAATGTAATATTTAAGGTTTACAAGGACCATATGGAAGACCAGGGGCACCAGGAGAACCAGGTATACATACATACTAATATATAGATAGATATACTTGCATTTATATACAGAATAATCCAAAGTGCTCTATTGAATATATATTGGATTTATTATTAGTAAAGCATGGAAATATATGTATTTCTAAATTGTGTTAAGTTATTTCGAATACACCAGAGATGGCGAACCTATGACACGCGTGTCACAGAGTGACACGCGCATACTATTATAGTGACACACGGATCTATGTAAAAGTTTGTCATCAAAAACCACTGGTCGTAGGACATAGACTAAAATAAATTGAGATTACAAAAATGAAATATTAAATTTATGGTATTATACCTACACGCATTGAATTGAATATCTACACTGCTCAAACTATTAATTTTATTACTTTTCGATAAGAAAATCTTATTCGATAAGAACATTATTAGGTATATATTTATATAACGGATATAACGTGTAAAACTGATCCACGGCTAGCGTTAGTCATTACTCATTCGTCGAATCGAATGTGTTTCATGTGTTAAATTTTATCGTTGCCTTTGACTTGTCTAAATGAATCGTTTTGGCAGTTTTCATTATTGGTGAGTGTTATTTTTATAATAATTTAAAGGTTATATTTTTTAATAAATGATGTCAAAAAGTAAAAGTGGAAGATCATTTCACGAACAATGGACCGTAGATTATGGGGTAGTTCAAAAAAATAATAAAGTGTTATGTTGTTTATGTAATGAAACAGTAGTTAGTCGCAGTTTTAATGTAAAAAGACATTTTGAAACAATTCATACAGACATATTTTCTTTATCAACTGAAGAAAAGTTCGAATTAATTTCGCAAAAATTGAAATNAAGTTGGAATTAATTTCGCAAAAATTGAAACGTTTTAAAAATCAATCAAATAATTTCAAAGCTGCTTTTATACCAAACAATAATTTAACAGCTGCTAGTTTTTCTGTATCCCACTGTATTGTACAGCATGGTAAACCAGTTTCCGATGGAGAATACATAAAAGAAGTTTTTTTAATGACATCAAATACTTTATTTCATGATTTTGTGAATAAAAATGAAATAATAAAACGTATTCAAGATTTACCTATTAGTAGAAATACTGTTAAAGAACGAATTTTATGTATGAGTGGCGATATATCAAATCAGCTTCAAACTGATTTAGCTTCAGCAGACTTTTTTTCGATTTGTCTTGATGAAAGTACAGATGTAACTTCCCAAGCTCGTGTAGCAGTTTTTGTTCTATTTATTAGTGTTAATATTATGAAAGAAGAATTAATAAAATTAATAACAATTTCTACTAAAACAACTGGTCGTGATATTATGGATGAAGTACATAAAGAGTTTATAAATTTAAAAATCAATATTCAAAATATTGTTTCAATAACTACTGACGGCGCTCCAAATATGGTTGGTAAAAACAATGGATTTATTAAACTTTTTTCCAATGAAATTTTGCATCCTTTAATCAACTTTCACTGTATTATACATCAAGAAGCGTTGTGTGCAAAAGATAGTATGAAATCGCTTCAAAAAGTAATGGAAACTGTTACAAAAATTGTCAATTTCATAACATCTCGAGCTTTAAACAATCGACAGTTTGCCAAATTATTAGAAGAGGTGGAATCGCAATACTCTGGCCTTCTTATGTATAATAGTGTTCGATGGTTGAGTCGCGGGCAAGTTCTTCATCGATTTGTTGAATTACTGGCAGAAGTACGTTTATTTTTGTCGGACAAATCTCAAGATTATCCAGAGCTTACTGATTTAAATTGGTTGAATGATTTGATGTTTTTCACAGATTTTACTGCAATTTATAATGATTTAAATAAAAAACTCCAAGGCCGAGGTCAAACCGTTTTAACTATGTTTAATAATATTTAAAGTTTTTTGTAAAGATCTACAAAATGAAAACTTGAAATATTTTCCTTATTTGAAAAAGCAATTAATAGATTCAAAACATTTTAAAGATGATCAGTTTGATATGAAATTAATAATAACAAAATATGTAAAAATATTAAAAAATGCATACGAATTATTTTCAAGCAGATTTTCCCAATTTCGTCATCTAGATTCAACATTACAGTTTTTATTAAATCCACATAATATTAAATTTGAAGAACTTGAACTTAGTTTTTTTGAGTGGTTAAATATTGAAAATTTAGAAATGGAGTTAATAGAATTTCAGGGAAGTAATATTTGGAGAAATAAATTTATTAATTTGAATAATGAGCTAGAAAATAATCATCATGAAATTGGTAGGAATTTTAAATCGGAAAATTTGATTCTTAATGAGTGGAAAAGTCTTCCAAATTCATTTGCATCTATGAAAAAACTAGCTCTTCCTTTATTGACAATGTTTGGATCAACTTATGCGTGTGAGCAGCTTTTTTCTTCAATGAATTTTATTAAATCAACTGTAAGGAATCGTCTTGGAACAGATTTAAGTGAAGCATGTGTTCAATTAAAATCGACCAAGTACAGTCCAAGAATTGATTCATTAGCCAATAAAATGCAGCAACAAATTTCTCATTAAAAATTCATGTATAAAAATTTTATATTTTAACATTTCAATATTTTTTAATTTTTTATAAATAAATTTTTTTTACATACTGACGTGATACATATACTTTTCGTATCTAATATAATTAAACTGTTTGATAATGTAATATTTGACATGTTTTTTATCATTCAAACCATGGATATAGGAATTTTTAAGTATGAAAAAGGGTTATAAAACTAGTTGACACGCAGGGAAAACAAAATTCAAACAACATTTTTTTTTGACACGCTAGTACAAAAAGGTTCGCCATCCCTGGAATACACCATCAGCTAGTAGAAATTATTATTAATTGTCATGAAAATTTAGTAATGTTTAATTACCGATATTATAGTTTTGGGCGGATTAGGAGGGGGCTTAATGCCTCTCTAAAATGAAAACTAATTCTATATAATTAGAATTATATTACTATACAGTGTGAATAAAGGATGATATTAATAATTTAAAGCAATGAATGAAGGTAAGAAGACGGTACAGCTATTTTTATCATTAGTTATTTCCCGCCCATCCTATTTATCCTATTTAGGTGTAAGAATGAGAATAACATCCAAAGTACTGGTCCAAAAATTGTCTTGTCATTTTCTCCATTACATCACTATCTATAAAATAATCTAGTTAATTTTGCACGTCACCATTTGAAAAAAATAAAGTTGACACCACTATAAATTATAAGGGATAATTCTAAAAAGTAATTATTAGTTAATAAATCATGAATTATATGTAATTAATAGAAACCAAAACATTTTTTCCTATTATTGTGATTATTTTGCGAGTAATCGAGTGGTTTATGTTTAACAAATCATGCTGTATAATCTTATGACAAAGTTGCACAAACTTGTGTCACATCAAATTAGATTAAACAAAATTTATAAATTCATATAATTCCGCGGTGTTATAACAAAATATCGTAGATACCATCCTCTAGACTGTAGTTATTAATATTAAATCACTAAAAATAATCTTTTTTTTCTTTAAAGGTATTCCCGGTCTAACAGGAGAAAAAGGAGATCAAGGTAACGTTTTTTATACTTTAAATACAAATAAAAATTAATTTAATTTAATAAAAATTGAAACATATTTTTAGGTGAACCCGGTCTAAATGGGTTGAATGGTCCATCAGGAGCTAAAGGAGATCCAGGTAAATATTAAAAATGTTAATCCATATAAATAGTTCTAAACACAAAATATTTTTGAACTTAATTAAGCATCAACAAAAGTTACATAATTTAAACTATTATAGACATAGAATATTTTAAATTTTTATTAATTATATATTATATTTTTTTGCTTTTGATTTAAATAATGTTTAATAATTCATGCTTTATTTAAAATTTTTAGGTCCGATAGGACCACCTGGGCTTCAAGGAGTTGACGGAAAACCAGGAAGTGATGGTCAAAAAGGTGATTATTTTAATACTTCATAAGTTTGGGGTTTATTTTGAGTTATGGTAAATTAATTTAAATATGGCTTTTATTAGGTGAACCTGGTATTGTGGGTGAACCTGGTCGTCAAGGATTACAAGGTTTTCCAGGAGCTAAAGGTAAAATTTATGATTATAATTTAGGAATATTATTAAATATCTAAACAAAATTTGTTCATAATTTAGGTGATACCGGTTTACCAGGACAAGAAGGCCCTAAGGGATTCCCAGGAAATAGAGGATATCCTGGTAATAATTATACATTAAAATTATCAAGATTGTTTTTCCTTATAAAAATTCTAATTTTTCAGGAACGCCTGGAAAGCCTGGTATGGATGGTATACCAGGTAAGCACAAATAAATCTACAAAAATTATAATTATTTTATCGAACAAAAAATAATAATTGGTATGATATAAACCATAGTAATAATAACAATGTTTTAGGCAGCAAAGGAGACAAGGGTGATTATGGATTACCAGGAAATCCTGGATTACCAGGAGACGATGGTTTACCTGGTCTACTGGGAGAACGAGGTAAAATTTTGCTGTTACTATTTACTATTAGTAGTTTTATTAAATCTATTCATTAGTTTGATACATATTAAATTTGACTAACTTTCTAAGGTCTTATGCAGAATAAAAAATAATAAAATTTGTTAGTATTTTTACTGAATATTATTCTAAATAAACTTATATGTATTTTATGAATTATTAAAAATTTTCTAATTTAAATTTTAAGGTCCAAAAGGAGATATAGGATTCCCAGGACCACCTGGTCCAATGGGTTTACGTGGTTTACAAGGATTTAAAGGAGCTCAGGGTCCTATCGGATACCAGGTATATCGACACATATTTATATAAATTTAATTAATCGGGGTAATAAAATTTATTTATATCAAGGGACCTAAAGGAGAACCTGGTCCAGTATCTGAAAAAGGACAAAAGGGAGAACCTGGTGAATCTGGTCTTAGAGGACCTCCCGGACTTTCTGGTCGAAATGGTAATTTGTACGCTTATTAAGTACTTAAAAAATTTAATTAATTTAACTATATATTATGTTAATAAATAATAAATATTATACAACGTGAACTATTTAAACAAATTATTAATAATTTAAACCATTATTTTTAGGTATCCCTGGTGAAAAAGGTGATGCAGGATACCCTGGAATAGGAATTCAAGGACTACCAGGACCTCAAGTATAAATTACATGATTAGATTGCAAAATTTATATAATTCTGACTTAATCGATTATTTTGTATTATAGGGAGAACCAGGTGCCCCTGGTTTTAGTGGTCTGTCGGGAAGAGATGGAGAAAAGGGTGTACCTGGAGTTCCAGGAGTACAAGGAATGAAGGGTGACACTGTAAGTAATTGAATGGTTCAAAATTATATAGTAATTTTTTTTCTTTAATCAATCTTAATATATTTTAAATAATTTAATAAATATTTCTTTGATTAAAATATATTTAATTTAAACTATTCATTAAAACGACAAAAACTGTTTTTTAATATTTAGGGCCCTAGAGGCCAGCCAGGAACACCAGGACCACCCGGACTTGACGGTGTTAATGGTATTGAGGGAATTCAAGGGTATGTAATATACAAACAAAAATTTTTATATAGTTCATACAAGGTATATTTTAAATCAATTTTTTGAAAATAATTATATAATTTACGACGTATTAAAAGATGGAGTGTAATGCACTACCCAACTTGATATAAGACATTATTAGTTAGTACTTTTTGAAAATAGCTATTTGGGGGCTATTTGTGCAAACCATTATTAATATATTTTAAATCGAATACAATATAGTTTATTTAAAATATATATAAATAAGCAAGAAACTAGCATAAAAGTTTATTTGAATTTATATAAATTCTAAAAACAATGTAACACATAATGTAACTCTTATGGAAAATAGAAACTTTGAAACTGTTTATCTCAAAATGACCTTTTTCAAGATGTTATATTCACAGGACGATGTGTAGACATATATAACATCGATACTTGCATGATTTTATTGTCAGCATATTTTGCAGAATTGAAAATTTAAAGAGATTTTTTTTGGATATTTTTCCCAAATCATCCTATAAATTGTAAATATACCAAATAATCTAAACAAATTCCCGTTATGACTTTCATTGACTTAAGGTCGATCACACTATACTAAACGCCAACGTCACGTCAATATATTTAACTTTGTAATCACATGATGTTGACGTTACGTAATGTAGCCAGTGTATGTGAACAATACGATATAATACATGGTTAAATATTTNTATTTCTACAGTTGTCCAAAAATATTTTGTATACACATCTAATAGCAGCAAGTTTGTCAGTTTTTTCTCTCTTCGCTCTAGTAGACAAATCATCAAACCTGATTGTTCGAAGTAAGAAAAGAAATCGCTTGTAACTAAATGTTGCTCTTGTGATCAACATACCTGTTCCATCATCTTTCCACAATTCTTTACAGTTTGCACGATTTCCGTGCTTCACACCGATAAGGAACAATATACCAAAAACAGCCATAATTTCATCACGAGACGTGTCTTTGCAATCTCTATCTCTAGAGTATTTTACTTGTGCTCTTTTTGTAGCAATAAAAGTATTTGTACATTCGACAATAATATCAATCAAATCTAGGTTTATAAATTTGAGAAATGCATCAATAGGTCTCCGAGTATCTTTGCAAATTCGAGTTGGACCAGGAGTAAATTTTATAATATTTTTCGCTGGTACTCTTGAACGTTTTTGCACGGGGGACTTAGAACTCCAAATGGTTTCACCATCTTTTCCAATAAAAAATACAAAATCGTTCTCTGTATCATCAACCTCCATGGTGTCTACATCCTCTACTGAAACTTCTGAGCCACTGTCATACTCATTTACCTCTACAGCCTCAAGTTCACCTTCAACATCAGAGCCGTCGATATCTTGTGTTTCTTGAACCTGTCCTTGCCCTTCATCATCAGATTGTTCAAGAATAAGCCTAATCTCTTCCTCAGAATAGTTTTGTTTCGCCATAAGTAATAAATAAATACATATATTTAAATTATGAATAAATATAATAAAAAAAGTCAAACTAACTTGTAATAAAATAATTTGCAATAGTTTCTATCAAAATTTGAATAATAAAAATACTTACATTAGTGAGCGCGTGCAGAACGGAATGCTGCCGAATGAATTCTATCACGTTAAATCTTCACTGGTGACTGATAGTATGGAGGAAAATAATAATTGATATATTGATAATATTACTAGTGTTGCCAACTACAGGTACTGAAATTATCTAGCCTTTCAAAAATACATACTAGTATTTATCACGAAAAAACTAATTTGGCAGCACACAGTGCTGCTACGCGTCCACCGGAAGGTTAATATAAAATGTATTTACTATACAAACGTATAGATACGTCAAACGAATTCTATGGTTTTATTAGGTATACGGTCAAAGAGGGTTGATTTTTTCTCTTTTTTTCTTGCGAAGCCTATAGTTTTTATACATGATGTCCAGGAAACAAAAAATAGATCAACTGTTACAAAAAATAACATTTTTTTACACATATATATGTAAAAAAAAAAGGTTCTATTGATTATATAAAATAATTTATCGTGAGTTCAATAGTCAAACAATCGCATTGTTGTAACTATCAGATTTTGGATACCAAACAGAGAATTTTATTATTTACCAATGTGTAAAAAAACTGTCATTTTTTAGTTTACAAGGATTCCCAGGAGTTAAAGGAGATAAAGGTGATGTCGGTTATCCGGGTAGACCTGGATTTGATGGTCTTAAAGGAGAACGAGGTTTACCAGGTATACTTTTGGAGAATGTTTTTTATGTATTAAAGTAATAAATATAATAAAAATTATTTTTTATACAAGGACTTACTGGACCAATTGGATTGCCCGGAGTAATTGGAGAGAAAGGTATTCTTTTATAAATATAATGATTTAATACAAATATTCTAGTTTATTATTTATATTTTTTTATTATGTAAATTTAATGATTTTTACTAAAACATAATTTCAATTTTAAGCAACAAATATTTAATAACTTCAGGGGTAAACCCCATTATAATAATATAATGACGTCAACTTCATACGAAAATTTAATTTTTTTATAAAAGAAATTTATAATAAAGCACTTGTTTATAAACCAAATTATTATAGGTGATCGTGGATTACCGGGCCCTGCTGTAGATATTAAAGGAGATAAAGGCGAACCTGGTCCACCAGGTTTACCTGGAAAACCTGGTGATATAGGTCCTCCAGGTTAGTTAATAAATGTATAAATACTATTACTTAAATAAATTATCAATTCAACTTCAAACTCACTTTATGAATTTTCAATTCAATATAATTCATAGGTCTTGAAGGATTATCAGGTTTGTCAGGAGAGAAGGGTGATATGGGATTACCAGGACCAAGAGGATTTACTGGTGCACCAGGTCTGAGAGGAGAAAAAGGTAACTTACTTATTCAAAATGTTTAAAAAAAATTGTTTATACTTTCAACTCAAACTACTAATAAATTTTCAGGTGATATTGGTCAACCTGGTCTTCCTGGTCCAATTGGATTAACCGTAAAAGGAGAAAAGGGATTGCCAGGTAACACATGTTTATTACTGCATAATAGCTAACAAATATATGCTTTAACTGTAATTAAATTATTACTTATTAATATTAATACTTTTAATATTAAATAAAAACTTATTAATATTTTAGGCATATTAGGAAAACATGGTAGAGACGGAGCACCTGGTTTACAAGGAGAAAAAGGTGATTTACCGACTAAATATCTTTCATAAAATTCATATTTAGCTATAAATTAAAAAATCAAAATTTACCTTAGGTGACAAAGGAATACCTGGATTGCCAGGATTACCAGGAGCTATTGGACCATCAGGCGTATGCATATAAAATATTTAAAAATTAAAAATAAATGTTTTAATTATTCATAATATTAAACATTAAAATATTTTTTTTTATTTAGTTACCTGGCCCACAAGGAGATATTGGACTTATAGGACCACCGGGTATATTTATTTTTCAAAAATAAATCAAAATATAATTTACACAAATCAATTAATTTTCCATAACATATTTTTTTATTTTTATTTTTTTTAATTGCTTAGTAATATTTTTTTATTTATGACGTTGAAATTAAAAAGTATTTAAATTCTGCTAAAAATACCTTATACAGAGTGATTTTTTTATCATGACCCACTCAATTACTTACAGAATAATAATAATTAAAAATTTTTTTTTTATTATTATCTTTAGTTACACATTATTCTTGAATTATTAACTATGTAATACTTTTTAAGTTCATCCCTTATACCTGGTAAGGGTGTCAACTTAGTTTTTTTAAATAGTAACACATATTTTGAATTTAATAAAATGTTTGAGTTTTTAATTTAATAGTAAATGGCATTTGAATTTTTAGTATAACTTTATTTGTTTATTAGATATAAACATTTAAAGTTTCAAATTTTTGAGTTAATGTATAGGTATAATACACAAGGGATTACAAATACAGGTAGCTAATTGGTTTTTTATGACATCGATATTAGCAGGTACACAGCATTGTTATTATCAATGATAGTAAGGTACATTGTTGTGAGTTTATAAATACACTAACTGACAATACAAAAAGTATATCTATTGATAGTCATAATTGATAATAAACAATCCGTGACTGTGATAGCAATATCATAAAAAACCAATTAGCTACCTATATTTGTAATCCCTTGTGTATTATACCTATATATTAACTCAAAAATTTGAAACTTTAAATGTTTATATCTAATAAACAAATTAAGTTTCATTAAAAATTCAAATGCCATTTACTATTGAATTAAAAACTCAAACATTTTATTATATTAAAAATATGTGGTACCATTTAAAAAAACAAAATTGACCCCCTTCCAAGGCATAAGGGATGAACTTAAAAAGTATTACATAGTTAATAATTCAAGAATAATGTGTAACTAAAGATAGTAATTTTTANGTAACTAAAGATAGTAATAAAAAAAAAATTTTTAATTATTATTATTCTGTAAGTAATTGAGTGGGTTATGATAAAAAAATCATCCTGTATATGTTAATATATATTTTTGAAAATGTTAATAAATATAATTTATTTTTTAGGAATACCCGGAACACCAGGAACGGATGGACTCCCAGGAGCACCAGGGTTAGATGGACCACCAGGATATAAGGGTAAAAATATTGAAAAAGTTATCAAAAAGAAACTTGAATAATATAATATATCAAATTTTATATTTAATTTTTTTTCACTTTTTTAATTTTGTAACATATATTGTATTTGGACTTAAAGAATAAAGGTAAGTTTTTACATTATATCATATTACTATATAGAAGAAAATCTTAACACATATAGTAAAAATATTTTTAAAATATTTCTATTGTGTGTATTATAATCTACTAAATGAAAATAATTATAATTAAACAGTGTTCAAAAAGGATTAGAGATTCTATTGATCTCTTTGTTTGTAACAATTGATTTGTTTTCTTACTTTTTGAACACTTTAAATAATTAAATTAAATTCTATTTGGGTACATATTTACATCTATAGGATCTTTAAAAATTTAATTTATCTTATTTTAGGCTCTAAAGGAGAACCAGGAATGCCAGCTCCCTATGCTGAAAAGGGCGATAAGGGTGAACGTGGTCTTCAAGGTAAAAAAGTGCAACAAATAATTTATTTAAAAATTTTATACAGTTAAAATAAATTAGTTTACACAATAAATTAATTGTGAATATATTATATAATAGGTGAGCCTGGATATCCTGGCCAAAAAGGAATAAAAGGAGACAGAGGGTTCTCAGGTAATATTTTTTCTAGATTTAAGATGGATTTAGTAATACTTACTAATTTTTAAATTTTGATATTAACACTTAATTACAGGTAATACTGGATTACCAGGTATAGATGGCTTACAAGGAGAAAAGGGTATTGCTGGTTTACCTGGTAGACCAGGTAAATATATTATTTCCGTAACTTAAATAAGCTATTGTTATATTATTATATTTATTTTATAATTATGCCATGTATCCAATTTTTTAAATTTATTATAAATGTTATAGGTATACCAGGATTCACCGGTGCTAAAGGAGATAAGGGTGAACCGGGATTTATTCCACCCCCCGGTCCCAAAGGAGAAAGAGGATTACCCGGTAAATTTAACCTTCCAAAAATTCAAAATTATTCTTCACTTATTCCAAAAAAGAATAGTTATACTATTATAATAGAATAGAATATTAATTTTTGATTTTATTTTAAAATTAAAATCAACACTTTTTTTATTCAAAATATTTTAACACTTAAAGTAATAATATCCTTGAATATTTAAAACTAGATCAAAAAAATATTTATACAATCTATACAAGTAATAATCTTTTAATATTTTGTCTGATAAAATCCATTGATATACAGAGTGTACTTACTTAAGTAAGTAAGGAAACAGGTGGTCAGTTGTTACAAGCAATAAGAAAAATAGAAACCCGTTTCCTTACTTACTGAACAGCCTATATATATATATATATATATATATACTGCTCTTATAATTTTTTTTTCCTTTTATGCTATTTAACTTTAACAAGCTGTAACAGACGAACGGTTGATCGGAAAAAAATTATAAGAGCAAAGTTGTCTGTATTTTTATTTTATAATAACATATTCAAAATAGGGGTTCCCATTTAAGAAAATTCAAGTTAATGCTTTTTAACTTTGAAGGGAAGGAAAAAATTGTGTTTTTACTACATATTATTGAAGATTTTTTTGAATTAAACAATATTTTCCTTACCAAAAATTTAAAATTGTCAACAGTTACCGAGAAAATGAGTGTCTTATCCTTAATGAATCACCCTGTATATATATATATATATATATATATATTTCAACTTATTTTCTCATTAAAAATTTTACACTAAAAACCAAAATTCAAGACAATTAACATTAATGGCTACTATTGATTTCAAAGACATATAGAATTACTTTTTATATCATGCTACAATAATGTATCATTTTTATGTAGTATTTATCACAATATCAAAAGCATAAAGATTCAAAGATTGTAGTTTATTCAAATTAGCTGTTCTTTCAAATTTTTTAGTTGAAAAATTTAACCCATTTATAATAATTATTTTATAATATATACTATAGGCACAACTTGTGCACTTTTATATGGTTAGGTTGTATTATAACTTATAAAAAAAATCTAATTATAATAAGCAAAATGCTATATATTTAATTAAATATTTTTAGGACCTCCAGGGTGGCCAGGAGAAAAAGGAGACCGAGGACGAGATGGATTATTAGGACCTCGTGGATTTAAGGGAGAAAAAGGTAAATCAAAATATGTAGTTTTCGAAATTTTCATTATTAAATATTAAGTAAAAACTTTGAAAAATATTTTTAAATAAATACTGTATAAATATACTTAACCAAAGAATATTACAAATATTTTTATTCAAAAGTATCTAGAGAAATCTTTGATTATTAAAATAAAAAATTTCGTTAATTTTTTTTTTAAATGTTATTTTTCTTTAATCATATTCTTAAATTTTACCTTATAAAATAACTCTAAATTCAAGATAATTCTAAGGTTAATAAAAGACAATAAAATTATTTTATACATATGTTCTGTCTTAAATTTACTAATGAAATATTAGTTATTCTCACTTATAACACATAAATTAATATATTTAAAGTGTTATTATTTTAAATTAGGTTTTCCTGGTTTGGAGGGTCCTATTGGACCACCAGGACCAGGTGGTGATAAAGGTGAACCGGGATTAGAAGGAATGCCTGGCTTACAAGTAAATCATACAACAGAAAAAACTATATCAAATAAATAATAAGTAATCTATATTTTAAATGTTTAAAATTAATGACCAATTTTTAGGGACAACCTGGATTGCCCGGTAAAGATGGTATTCCTGGCAAACCCTGTGAATTCCAACCAGATTATTCAACTGGAATTCTATTGGTGAAACACAGTCAAAGCTCAGCAATACCAGAATGTGAGGCAAACCATGTAAAACTATGGGATGGTTTCAGTTTGTTGTACATTGAAGGAAACGAAAAAGCACATAATCAAGATTTAGGTAAATAAATCATAATAATAGTTACTTTTAATTATTTATGAATAAAAAAATTAAGGCACTAATTTATTTATTTTTTTGTTATAGGTTTTGCTGGTTCTTGCATACGTAAATTTTCTACAATGCCTTTCCTATTCTGTGATTTCAATAATGTTTGCAATTATGCTAGTAGAAATGACAAATCTTATTGGTTAAGTACCAATGCACCATTACCAATGATGCCGGTTGAAGAAGTTGAAATTCAAAAATATATTTCAAGGTAAGATAATATAATTTAAAACTAAATTGACGAATAACATATTTGTTAAAATACTTTATTAATTTAATTACTCATTGTAGATGTGTTGTTTGCGAAGCACCTGCTAACGTCATTGCGGTGCACAGTCAAGCATTGACCGTTCCTGATTGTCCCAATGGTTGGGAAGGACTATGGATAGGATACAGTTTTGTCATGGTTAGTAATTTTATATCTATTAATTTGCCTATTTTATCCTAAATTAAATATTTTATTTCGATGAAAATTTGTAGCATACCGCTGCTGGTGCAGAAGGAGGAGGACAATCTCTAGCAAGTCCAGGTTCTTGTCTAGAAGACTTTAGAGCAACACCATTTATTGAATGTAATGGAGCACGTGGTACATGCCATTATTTTGCTAATAAATTGAGTTTTTGGTTGGCAACTATCGATCCAGAAGAACAATTCACTAGTCCACAAAGACAAACTTTAAAGAAAGATATGACTCGTAGTCGCATAAGTAGATGCCAAGTTTGTATTCGACGAACTTAAAGCTTCAAAATGTTAAATGTAGTCATATACAATTTTTTCTATGTATAAATTTTATTTTACTTTTATTAATATTATAATTAATACATTATTCGACATAGGTTAAAGTCGCCTGCATTAGTTTCGTATTATTAACAGGCATTTGTGTTCTTAAATAATATATATATATATATATATATATATATATATACTAACGCGTTGACCATTGTGTTCTTACATTATAACTAAAATAATTTTAAGTATTTTAAACGATCATAATAAATACCTAATTTTAAAATCTTAACAAAATGCATTACTCTATTATTTGTAAATATATTAAATTGATCAAAAATTATATTGAAAGCATTCAGAATGAAAATCAGTGTACCAAATATTAGATTGAATGGAAAGGTAGTTGTTTTATATAGAAATGAAAATATTTAGAGTCGATTATAAGTTAATAAACTTTTTTTGTTTAATAAAAACAAAAAAAGTCTGCCATTATCAAAAATTGTATTAAATTAACTACATTCAAATTGTATTTAAATGACTAAAAATAAAAAACCCAGCACAGGGGGGTCGCGGCACAGTGGTGACGTGCATAGATGGATCAAGTATAATGATATCTGACAGTGATTAAAATCACTATCAAAAAAAAAAGCTTCGATGCAAATCTTTTGAACATTCGGTAGCCATTTTCACCGTGAAGATAAAATAAAGTCCGAAATTTTTTTTTACCATAATAAAGTATATTACATTAGCTTTAATTTAAGATATATATAAAAGTGTCAGACCTTCCGGAACACTTTCAAAATTTAAGTTGAAAAAGTTCTACTTTCTACATGCATTTTTTAGATTTGAACCCCCCTCGTATATAGGGAAATGGTCGGATTTAAAAAAACAGTATGTCAAATGAAAGATGTATATAAATACTACTCTTCATGAAAAAATTGTACTGATCTATACATTTTTCAAAATGTTATAGCATTATAAAGTTAAAAATGTAAAAAATANTATAGCATTATAATGTTAAAAATGTAAAAAATAAAATTGAGAATTTTCACACAATAATAGCATTTGGTAGCCATTTTCACCTTGAAGATAAAATAAAGTCCGAAATTTTTTTTTTCCATGATAAAGTATATTACATTAGCTTTAATTTAAGATATATATAAAAGTGTCAGACTTTCCGGAACACTTTCAAAATTTAAGTTGAAAAAGTCAATTTTTTGTGAAAAAGTTGTCATTTTGAATCCCCCCCTGTAGGCAGGTAAAAAGTCAGATTTATAAAAAAAATATACCAAATGATAGGTAAAGACATCATGCATCTAAAAAAAAAAGAATTATATTGATCCATACATCTTTCAAAAAGTTATAGCATTATAAAGTTAAAAATATAAAAAAGAATTTTTTTACAAAAATCGTATTTTTTTTATTAAGTTTAATGTCTGTTTTCACCATGAAGATAAAATAAAGTCCGAAATTTTTTTTTACCATAATAAAGTATATTACATTAGCTTTAATTTAAGATATATATAAAAGTGTCGACCTTCCGGAACATTTTCAAAAGTTATAGTTGAAAAAGTCAATTTTTTGTGAAAAAGTTGTCATTTTGAATCCCCCCCTGTAGGCAGGTAAAAAGTCAGATTTATAAAAAAAATATACCAAATGATAGGTAAAGACATCATGCATCTACAAAAAAAAGAATTATATTGATCCATACATCTTTCGAGAAGTTATAGCATTATAAAGTTAAAAATATAAAAAAGAATTTTTTTACAAAAATCGTATTTTTTTTATTAAGTTTAATGTCTGTTTTCACCATGAAGATAAAATAAAGTCCGAAATTTTTTTTTACCATTATAAAGTATATTACATTAGCTTTAATTTAAGATATATATAAAAGTGTCAGACCTTCCGGAACACTTTCAAAAGTTACGTTGAAAAAGTTCTACTTTCTATATGCATTTTTATGTTTTGAATCCCCCCTGTATTTAGGGAAATGGTCCGATTTAAAAAAACAGTATGTCGAATGAAAGATCTATATAAATACTACTTCTCATAAAAAAATTGTAATGATTCATACATTTTTCAAAAAGTTATAGCATAATAAAGTTAAAAATGGAAAATACAAAATCGAAAATTTTCACACAAAAATAGCATTCGGTAGCCATTTTCACCATGAAGATAAGATAAAGTCCGAAATTTTTTTTTTTCATGATAAAGCATATTACATTAGCTTTAATTTAAGATATATATAAAAGTGTCAGACCTTCCGGAACATTTTCAAAATTTAAGTTGAAAAAATTAATTTTTTTTGAAAAAGTTGTCATTTTAAATTCCCCCTTGTGGGCAGGTTAAGGGTTAAATTTATGAAAAAAATATACCAAATGATAGGTAAAAACATCAAGCATCTATAAAAAAAAAAATTATATTCAAATGTTCATTTTTGAAAAAGTTATGGCACTTTTAAGTAAAAAAAATTGAAAAAATTTCGAAAATTAGCGATTTTTAAATTTGTAATTTTTTTGGAGGTTTCC